CACTAACCTCCTTTTCCCCTCTCTCTCCAAGTGAGGTTCTTACCCTCATTACCTCTGCCGCCCTACCACCTGTCCTCTGGACCCTATCCCCTCAAACCTCCTTCAGACTATCGCTCCTGATATTCTACCGTTTCTCACCCATTTCATCAACACTTCTCTAACTTCTGGTCACTTTCCAAACAGTCTCAAGGAGGCAAGAGTAAACCCTCTCCTAAAGAAACCCACTCTCAACCCGTCAGATGTTATAAACTACAGGCCTGTCTCTCTCCTCCCGTTCCTGTCTAAAACACTTGAACGCGCCGTCTTTAAACAACTCTCCTGTTATCTCCATCAGAACAACCTTCTGGATCCGCACCAGTCTGGTTTCAAGGCAGGTCACTCCACAGAAACTGCTCTCCTTGCTGTCTCTGAGGAACTGCACACTGCCAAAGCAGCATCCCTCTCCTCTGTCATCATCCTGTTGGACCTGTCTGCTGCATTCGACACGGTGAATCATCAGATCCTCCTTCGCACTCTTCAAAAACTTGGAGTTTCAGGCTCTGCACTTTCCCTCCTCACCTCATACCTCAAAGACCGTACCTACAGGGTAACTTGGAGAGGGTCCGAGTCCGACCCTTGTCAATTAACTACAGGGGTCCCTCAGGGCTCTGTTCTTGGTCCCCTCCTCTTCTCCCTGTACACAAACTCGCTCGGATCAGTCATTAGCCTGCATGGTTTTTCATACCACTGCTACGCTGACGACACCCAATTAATTCTGTCCTTTCCCCGCTCAGAGACCCAGGTCGTCGCACGCATCTCTGCTTGTCGAGCTGACATATCTCAGTGGATGTCTGCTCATCACCTCAAGCTCAACCTTGACAAGACTGAACTGCTTTTCCTTCCGGGAAAAGATTGTCCCACTCTTAACCTAACAATCAACATCGGCACCTCTATTGTTTCCCCGACTCAGACTGCAAGGAATCTGGGTGTGACCCTAGATAACAACCTGTCCTTCATTGCAAACATAGCTGCTACAACCCACTGCTGCAGATACACGCTTTACAACATCAGGAGGATACGTCCCCAGCTGACCCAGAAAGCGACGCAGGTTCTGGTCCAGGCTCTCGTCATCTCACGCCTAGACTACTGCAACTCCCTCCTGGCTGGTCTACCTGCATGTGCCATCCGACCTCTGCAGCTCATCCAGGCTCGTCTGGTCTTCAACCTTCCAAAATGTTCCCACACCACTCCGCTCCCTTCACTGGCTTCCGGTAACTGCTAGAATCCACTTCAAGACACTGGTACTTGCATACCATGCTGCGAATGGATCTGGCCCTTCCTACATCCAGGACATGGTTAAACTGTACACCCCAGCATGTGCACTCCGCTCTGCATCAGCCAAACGACTCGCTGCACCCTCGCTGCGAGGGGGACCCAAGTTCCCATCAGCAAAAACATGTGGGTTTGCTATCCTGGCTCCAAAATGGTGGAATAAGCTCCCCATTGACATCAGGACAGCAGAAAGCCTGCACATCTTCCGGCGCAGACTGAAAACTCATCTCTTTAGACTCCACTTCGAGCGATAGAATTACTAACAAAGAACTGCTAACAGAGCACTTACATACTAATAAAGGACTGGCTTGAGTGGCACTTGAAATGTTCGGCTCTATGAAACCTGATGTACTTATATGATTCTGTTTTCTTCAAGGTTGTGTCTTCCTGGTCGAATGTACTTATTGTAAGTCGCTTTGGATAAAAGCGTCAGCTAAATGCAATGTAATGTATTGTTATTATTTTTAAAGTAAAGTAACTTGTTACAAGTTACTTTTATAATTTAGTAACTAATAAAGTAACTAGCAGTAACTATAACTATTACTAGTTACTTTTTAAAAGTAACTTGCCCAACACTGGTTAAAAGTGATTCTTTCAGTGAGACAACCGAACAGAGCAAGCTTCTACAGTTGCACTAAGTTTTGATAACAGTTAAATATTATTTTAATAATACATTTATTTCAATGTTGATGAATTTAGAACGGTTTATTCATAATCTGATTATCTTTGTAGTATACTGTTGGATTTAATAAACACATTCAAATAAAAAAATCATTATATTTATAGCCCCTGAACAAACACACCTCTTTCTTAAATAACACACTTGCTCTGCAATAATATGTTTTTTGATATTTCTGTTAGGAAAGGACATGCCTGAGAGACAGGACTGCTTCACCATGTTCTCTTTCTCTGAGGGTCCAGAAGAACATCCAAGAGGGAAAGGAAAAGCTGATGTTATGAGATTTAAGAGCAGTACAGGACATTCACTAAGAGACACTTATATTGTAACACAAAGACCTGCACACTGACTAGTTTTGTAGTCTAACAGGAACTTCATTTGTGTGTTGTTTTGTGTTTTACGTTGCACCTCAGAGACAGTGTGATTATTGTCAGGCCTATAAAGTTTGGCAAAAAAAAAGTCAGCTTATCAAATGCATTTGCCTCACTTTATGAGCTTCACAATACTTGTGCCTTGTACCGCCGAGTTTGCAACGTCATAAATAAATGGTGTCAATCTTCAGTCAGTTGTGAATGTGTAATTTAACATTTTCAGTAAGAATAACGGACAAAAGGAATACAAACACAATTTATTGAAATGTGAACTAAAAGTTATCAAGCACGAACCATCACCATTTTTTTTTTAAAATAAAAACGAAATAATATACATAAGTTACACTAAATGTTAATCTGTTAATTGACAGGCTAGGCCTGTGCAGGTGGTAACAGCTATGCCCAGCATGGGTCTGGTCTGGTCCTCCTCCCTCAGGCCTGGTCCTCCTCTTAGGGAAAGACCCTCAGCCCTCTCTGGCCAAACCAACAGACAGGACGTTCATAAAGCTGAGGTTTCCCCCAAAGTCTCTAATCATCCTTCCTGTGAATATGAGAGGGGAAAAATAGTGTAATAGATGCTTTGGACAATAAGAAATATAAAGTTAACTGTTGAGTTGCTCAGTTTTTTAGATTGAAAGGGTTTAATAATACAAACAAAAGGAGAGGCACCATAAAATAAAGATTGGTCTTTCAATAAATTGTGTTTTTTTAAATATTTGTCTAAAGTCAAGTAGCTAGAACTGTTACTTATAGTTTGAATGATACAGTCTGGTTATAATGTTTGGAGGAGGCATCACAGGTAAGAGCACAATTTGTTGTGTTCCATCCACAACAAATGCACACAGATTGATGTGTGTATTTATTTATCTACTATTTCTTGAATCATTACTGTCAGTCCAAAACAAGAGATTTTGTTTTAGTAACATTTATAAAAAAAAAACATTATCTCTTTTCCACTACACTATCTTGAATACTTTAGTTTTTACGTCACTACATTTATCTAACAGCTTTAACATTGTAAAGGTGTCACTTCGGACTCTGGGTAATTATGACAGCATGTCCTACTATTTTGAGAGTTTGAACAAACCAGACCTTCATCTATTAATGTAGAAAATAGTCAGCACATTACACCATTATGAAAGCAATAATTATCTCATTGTTCAAAATGAGCTCCAACTACAACAGTTAAGTCAACTCGTGCATCGGTAATAACAATAAAACTAATTATATAATATAATAGTATAACTTGTGTCTACTATAAATACTAAACAACACTTTCCTAATTATACTAGCATACTTTTACTAAAGTAACATTAACATGTTAAAATGCAGGGCTTTTGTAAGAGAGTATTTCGTATAGTGTAGCATGGTCTACTTGACTTATCTAACCGAAGTGATCGTTACGTTACTTTGCAAACCGTCAAACCCCCCCCCCCCCCCCCCCCCCCCCGCCCACACACACACACAAAAGGACACGGTAACGTTGTGATTCACTTCAATTAATGATAACTACGGAGCTTGCTAACAGCAAGGCACAAGGCTACTTCACTCATTTAGCTAGCTAATGTAAGATACAAATGCTGTCGAGCCCTCACTGCTTGTAAAATAAAGAGCACAAACTGACTACTTACCCGAGCGGCGAGCCCCACTGTTCTCCGTCATTTTTCTCCCGGGTTGTTGTGATCACATGACTGACAAAGCCTTGCTCTGATAGGCCAGAAGTCGGTTTAATTGCATTAGGGCTCGATTGCTTATCCTGTCTGAGTAGCCCGGATGATGCTGCATCGCAATTTTGGACATATCTATGATTTTGGACATCGAATTTTATACACCGAATTTTTTTATTTAAATTTTTGGGATCTGAATTTGAATATTCAAATTTGTTTCACTTGCATGTTTACATTTCTATTTCACATAGGTAAGTTTGGAGGAAACACATTCAGATGCATGATTTTCAAAGTAATTATTTTCAATGCTATAAATTCGGTGTCTAAGAAAATTCAAATACTTCTGTCTCTTGTTTGCTTCCATAGTCCTATGCTTAGTATTAATACTTTTGGCCCGTAATTTATTTTCCTCATTGTAGCGACCAGAGAGGGGGGGGGATATATCCAGTCTCTGATAGTGTTACGATATTATGAGAGTGCTCTCATACTTGTTTGAATCTGAAATTGTATATATATATAGGCCTAAATGTGTGTGTGTGTGTGTGTGTGTGTGTGTGTGTGTGTGTGTGTGTGTGTGTGTGTGTGTGTAGCCTGTTATTGTCTCATTATACCGCACTGTGAATGAATCAAAGTAAATATATAAGTGGTCATGAACACATCTGTCCATCAGACATCAGAGGGCTGCTGTGCCTCCTGTCATCATTAACGGACGTCTCTTTAAAATGACCGCTCAGAGGAGAGGAGTTCTCATTTCTCTAACTGCCTGCTGCTTCCCCTCTTTTCTCCTCGGTTCCCCTCCTCGACTCCTCCGCTCGCATCTCCTGTGGTCGGGACTAAGACACGAGGATAGGAGTCGAGGAGGGGAATTAGAGAAATGAGAAAGGGCCTAAGACTAATTAGTTACTATACTTTTCAATAAAGTTAAGTTGAAAAAAATGTTAACGGTGTTGACGCCTCTCTCTCCACCACTCATGTCTCTTCAAAACTATTACGTCATCACGTCAGTCTGTGGGTCACAGTTTGGCAACATGGCGGCGCACAGGCTCTCTCCATCACTGAACAGACTCCTGTTCGCGGTAAAGGTGAGCAGCTTACAGGAGTGTGCAGAGCGCGAGCTTCGTGGACACACAGAGAGAGAGCCGTGTGTTTGCTGTAAGCACGCAAGCAAGGCGGAAGCTGTTAGCAGAGTTCTTAGAATGCTAATGACTGGTGAAGCTAGCACAGTCCTGAAGGTTCTTGAGAGATAACGCCACATTGCTATGCTAACATTAGAAAAAAGTTTGTTATGAAAGCTTGACAGGTACATAATGGTGTCCTGCGTTTATTGAGTCAAAAAGAGAGTAACGTAAAGCGGGTGTGACTTTGACTCAGACAGAGGCTGCGCGTCACGCTGGCGTTACGTCTGATCCGATGCAGCTGAACATAAACACACATTATACTGCCCTGTGTAAATGCATTGTGTTTGACCTCGCTGCATCGCTTACAAGAGTCCAGACTGTTGCTGCAACGTGTTTTTATTGGACTGCCTCCTTTTAAAAGGTCTCATGCTTGACCGGGTCAGCCCAGTAGGGGGCCCTCAAGTAAAATGACTGTTTGGCCCCTCAACAGGTTTTCTGAAAAAGCAAAACAAACTCTTTCTTTAACCCAGACATAGCATGAATTCTTCATTCTAACACTGACCTGCATGCTGAGGTAGTCATAAGTCAGAGGGTTTTTGCATGTTCAAGTTAATCGTTTCCATGTATAAGTGTATGCAATCCAAAAATATAAAGGCATTTTGACTGTCTATCTCTATATTCTCTACAAACCACTGTGCTTCAGTTTGGATACAAGCTGTACTTTGTAACAAGTGTTGTGTGTGCCCAGTGTGTTTTTCACTCAACAACCAGTACTTGTGCATTACTCATTAAGTGTCACTGTAAAACTGTAGCTTTTGCATCAATTCACATTCTGTTTCATAACAATATAAAATGTTTATCATATATATTTGTCGATCTCCTTTCTATGGCGTTGGGGCTTAGTCTATATTTATTTATTTAAAAATATATATATATATTTTTCACTTAAAACTTTGAAATGAGAAAATCTATTTGTCAAACATTCACACACGAGGAGTATAAATAATACATACATAAATATGCATACAAATCCTCATCAAGTTTTGAAATGATCTTTTTATATATATATGATATTATATTTTGGGAATATCGCCCTGCACTTCATTGAACAAGAAGGGAAACAACCATTATACCATTAACCAGCCTAAATCATCTGAGAATAAAGGTCGCTTTTCTCTCAACATTTTTACATTTGTCAAACATATTCAAATAGAAGGTGATAAGCAGAATCAGGAATGGTTCTGATGAAATCATCCACACCCTTACACATATACTTAAAAGTAAACCTAATTCTATATAATAATGAAAACGTGTAAAAGTCGCTGAATATGGTGTATCTTTTTGTTTTGTAGTATTCCTCATTCCAGTCCAGATGCTGTGCAGGACACTGCTACGCTCACTACTCCACTGTCTCCAGTCCCAGTGAGAAGGTAAACATCTGTTCTCTCATCAGCAGCTTAACACTGAAGAGACTGTCCACATGTGATATTGAGAGGCAATGTCTTGCGTTTGACATATATGTGTCTGAGACAAGTGAAGAAAGTCCTAATCTGTTTCCTTCCTCAGACCTTCGATAAGATCCTCATTGCCAACAGAGGAGAGATTGCTTGCAGGGTAAGAAACACACAGAGTTACTGTACATTAACATAACAAAGTCTTACTAAAGCCTGACCTGGCACCACTCCAAAATAATAGAGGAACATATTTATTTAAACATCAAAATGTAAGGTAAGAACTTGCAATACAAATACGCAATTAAATAAAGATAATTTTATAAACATAAAAGTAAATGAAAATGTCAAAGTAAAATAATTGTCACATATCGTGCACATTGCACTACAATATATCAAATGTATATCACAATAAAGAGATACCTTGGTGTGTTATTAAGATATGAATGCAGAAGTTCACCGTTGAAATGGTTTGGCTTCTGATAGTAAAGGGAATCCTTTTGAATATTTTTGACCACAAACTTTGTTAATAGTTTATTTCCATGTTAACACATTGCAGCCAGTACCTATAAATATCACATTGACTATAGAGTGAAGCATGAGCGTTAATGTTGTGTGTTTTCTCATCAGGTGATCAAGACATGTCGCAAGATGGGCATCCAGACTGTAGCTGTCCACAGCGACGTGGACTCCAGTGCTGTGAGTCCCCCTCTGTTCATCCACTGTTAGGAATCAGGGTGGAATATGAGGAAATGTTAATATTGTATTTCCTATGAATTCGTCTTACTGAAAACTGTTGCAATGTCCTGATGCAAACAAACAACTGTCTTCGTCTTCCCTGTGCATGTTGTATCTAGGTTCATGTAAAGATGGCTGATGAGGCGGTGTGTGTTGGCCCCGCCCCCACCAACAAGAGCTACCTCAACATGGACGCCATCATGGAGGCCGTCAGAGCGACTGGAGCACAAGCTGTAAGCTTTTCAATCACACTTAATATGACACTATATGACAGCCATAGGAGATGTGCAATAAGTGTTCTGTACTTGATGAGCATGCTCATAGACAAAATAAACAGATCTATGGTTGCATCATCAATGTGCTGAGAGGATCTATTGAAAACATCCTTGGCTTTATACAGTATGCTCACAGCTAAGGATTTGTGTTTGCAATGTTCCCCTCTGTAAAGGTTCATCCTGGCTACGGGTTTCTGTCTGAAAACAAAGAGTTTGCAAAGCGACTGGTGAGTAATGACTTATTTCCTTTAACGCATCCTTTACTACAACAAGTTCAAAAAGAATGAAAGACCAACAGCTTTAACTCTGATTTATTCAAACGGTCTTTGAACTACACTGAACAAAAATATAAATGCAACACTTTTGTTTTTGCTCCCATTTTTCATGAGATGAACTCAAAGATCTAAAACATTTTCTATATACACAAAATAACCATTTCTCTCAAATATTGTTCACAAATCTGAAAAAATCTGTGATAGTGAGCACTTCTCCTTTGCCGAGATAATCCATCCCACCTCACAGGTGTGGCATATCAAGATGCTGATTAGACAGCATGAGTATTGCACAGGTGTGCCTTAGGCTGGCCACAATAAAAGGCCACTCTGAAACGTGCAGTTTTGCTTTATTGGGGGGGTTTGGGGGGGTCCGAAAATCAGTCAGTATCTGGTGTGACCACCATTTGCCTCACGCAGTGCAACACATCTCCTTCGCATAGAGTTGATCAGGTTGTTGATTGTGGCCTGTGGAATGTTGGTCCACTCCTCTTCAATGGCTGTGCCAAGTTGCTGGATATTGGCAGGAACTGGAACACGCTGTCGTATACGCCGATCCAGAGCATCCCAAACATGCTCAATGGGTGACATGTCCGGTGAGTATGCTGGCCATGCAAGAACTGGGATGTTTTCAGCCTCCAGGAATTGTGTACAGATCCTTGCAACATGGGGCCGTGCATTATCATGCTGCAACATGAGGTGATGGTCGTGGATGAATGGCACAACAATGGGCCTCAGGATCTCGTCACGGTATCTCTGTGCATTCACAATGCCATCAATAAAATGCACCTGTGTTCGTCGTCCATAACATACGCCTGCCCATACCATAACCCCACCACCACCATGGGCCACTCGATTCACAACATTGACATCAGAAAACCGCTCACCCACACGACGCCACACACGCTGTCTGCCATCTGCCCTGAACAGTGAAAACCGGGATTCATCCGTGAAGAGAACACCTCTCCAACGTGCCAGACGCCATCGAATCTGAGCATTTGCCCACTCAAGTCGGTTACTACGACGAACCGGAGTCAGGTCGAGACCCCGATGAGGACGACGAGCATGCAGATGAGCTTCCCTGAGACGGTTTCTGACAGTTTGTGCAGAAATTCTTTGGTTATGCAAACCGATTGTTGCAGCAGCTGTCCGAGTGGCTGGTCCCAGACGATCTTGGAGGTTAACATGCTGGATGTGGAGGTCCTGGGCTGGTGTGGTTACACGTGGTCTGCGGTTGTGAGGCCGGTTGGATGTACTGCCAAATTATCTGAAACGCCTTTGGAGACGGCTTATGGTAGAGAAATGAACATTCAATTCACGGGCAACAGCTCTGGTGGACATTCCTGCTGTCAGCATGCCAATTGCACGCTCCCTCAAAACTTGCGACATCTGTGGCATTGTCAGGGGTGCACATAACTTTTTTGCCCTGGTTCTCAAAGGAGCACCTGGAGATGTTGCTTGGTGCTCATCCTTAAAATGAAATAAACCGTAACTTTTGAGGGGGTCTTGACTTTATTTGCCAGACACACGGCACTGAACACACATGCAGAGGTGAACACAGAACACACATGCAGAGGTGAACACAAGACAACATTATCACGACCAGTAATCCTACAAGCCGTCATCACTACCCTCCTGACTGTTCTCCTCACTGTCTTCCTCTCTGTCAGACATGGTAGCTGATGATGTAGGCCTACTTCTTCCTCTCTGGTTGAGTCTGTGATTAGCTGCTTGCATCCACAAGTCAACAGCTGGTTTTGGGTCGAAAGTCTCTGTTGTCATCTTAGACAAGTGGATGTAATCAAATAAGTATGTGAACATAACCAATAACCTACCATAGCCAATAACAAATGAATGGAACTTATTTTATTTATGTTGTTCATTCATATCTTATTTTACCTTAACATTTATTTATTTATGCATTTTTTTATCTCCAGTTTTAAAGGATATTTTTGGTTACTGTCCTATAGTATACATTGGAATGATTTCAAACCTGTTTATCCCAATAATTATAAAGGAGTGCCTTGGAAATATGTGTTTATATAAATTGCGACCAAACTGTTTGAACTTAGACTAAAGTGAACTATCTAAACACTCAGAGTCCTTACCTCACTGAGCTGTAGTTATCAGTTTCTCAGTCTGACTGGAGAGGACTCTCCCTCCACATTATTGTAGAAACATCTTCTTCTTATATCCGTTAGAGCAGCTAGCACCAGATTCTAATAACAACAGCGCGTACCGGTGCACCCTCCCTCTCTCCCTCTCTCCCTCGCATTTTGGCTGTGAGCTGCGGTTGCCAGATAAGCCAACATCCCCCATTTTCATCACTTACAGCGCCCAGCGTACAGGGCAAATTAAACGTGTAACCGGGGTGAAAAGGGTGTTACATTTACTTAATTATGAATATTGTTACATCAAGGCCGAAAATTAGGATGAGCCCCAACGGTCAAAATGTTTTTTCCCCTCCCAAAACTGGCAGCGCAGCGCCTCCACAGATCTGGCATCCTAGGCGAACATCTATAACGCGTTCATATGCAACTCGCAAATATCTTTCTTTCTTTCTTTCTCTCTCTCTCTCCTCTCTCCTCTCTCCTCTCTTCTCCCTTCTCTCTCTCCCTCTCCCTCTCTCAATGTTGGTACGCAAATGCGCCTTTTTTCAAATGACCCGGTGCTCTTTTTTTGGCGGAGGTGCGCATGCGCACCTCCGCACCAGTTATGTGCAGCCCTGGGCATTGTGCTGTGTGATAAAACTGATTTTAGAGTAGCCTTTTATTGTGGCCAGCCTAAGGCACACATGTGCAATAATCATGCTGTCTAATCAGCATCTTGATATGCCACACCTGTGAGGTGGGATGGATTATCTCGGCAAAGGAGAAAGTGCTCACTATCACAGATTTTTTCAGATTTGTGAACAATATTTGAGAGAAATGGTTATTTTGTGTATATAGAAAATGTTTTAGATCTTTGAGTTCATCTCATGAAAAATGGGAGCAAAAACAAAAGTGTTGCATTTATATTTTTGTTCAGTGTATTTATGGTTTATTTTATTCTTAACAGTAATAATAGCTATTTAGGAATAATAAAACATTTTTGAGAAAAAGCACAAGTCATGATTGTTAGTGTTTATGAAAGTACACCTTCAATCAGCATGCAATAGCACTTGATGTTTGAAAGAATCCTTCCTCGCTCAGACGGCACACATGCATCAGATCTAGACTGAGCGTTTTATCTTGCTTTAATAAAGGTATGTTGAACTGTGGCTTGGAATCACCAGACTCAAATGTAGTAGTGATCAGCTCGGTAGCTACTTAATGAAACATGGACAATAAATCCTGGTATTATATTGAATCCTTTTTGAGAAAGGTGGATGATAGATTTGCAGTGTGGAACATAGTGAGAGCAGTATGCTGGGAGTCTTTGTTCTCTCTGTGGTATCACCATAAGTCTGATCCGCCTACTTTCATGGTGTTGTTATTTTTGTTGCTAGGCAGCAGAGAACGTGGCATTCATTGGTCCAGACACCCATGCTATCATGGCAATGGGAGATAAAATTGAGAGCAAGCTGATCGCTAAGGCTGCTGAGGTCAACACCATCCCAGGATATGATGGAGTCGTCAAGGTATGTGCAGCAAGTGCAGGAGATCCAAGCTCCTTCCTTCCTTTACATTTACAATGTGATAACATTCACAAGATTTTTAAAATCAGGATTATTGTTTACAGACAGTGGACATTAGTCAGATGTTGTTTACTTGTGCCATCATGTGCCGCACTCTGATGCAGACAAAGCAAGTGTGAAATATGTTTGCTCAAGGGTTGTAGAGATATCAAAACTCGGACACACACACACACACACACACACACACACACACACACACACAGCACACACACACACACACACACAGACACACAGGCAGACACGCAGGCAGACAGACAGACAGACAGACAGACACACACACACACGGACAGACAGGCAGGCAGACAGACAGACACAGACACGCACGCAGGCAGACAGACAGACACACAGACAGACAGACAGACAGACACAGACACGCAGGCAGACAGACAGACACGCAGGCAGGCAGACAGACACACAGACAGACACACACACATACACACACACATACACACACACACACACACACACACACACACACACACACACACACACACACACACACACACAGACAGACAGACAGAGGTACTCACAGACAGACACACAGACATTTCAGTACTCACAGACAGACACACAGACAGACAGACACAGACAGACACACAGACATTTCAGTACTCGCAGACAGACACACAGACATTTCAGTACTCACAAACAACCTGAGATATCTAATCAAACCACAGTACACAACAACAGTTTAAGCGAGAAGCTGCTTGAATCCTGAAACAATCATGACAGTCTGGTGACAGTTCAAACAAAGCATTGATGACATATTCATAGTTCATCATCCGTAATAATAATAACCCTCTCTCTCTCTCTCTGTGTCAGACTGCTGAGGAAGCCGTGACGATCTCACAGCAAATTGGTAAGTGTTCATCATTTGGCACGCTAACATTGTAGTCCCTGTGAGAGATTTGGTGCACTGCAGCCTCACAATCCAGATCACAAATGAAGAACAGGAGATAATAAAGCCCCTGAAGTGCCATTGCATAAATGTCCCTTAAAGGTGTCAGACTGTATCTGTATCTCTACTTTACAGAACTCTGTTTGCATGGACAGCAGCTGTCTACTTGTGTGTGTGTGTGTGTGTGTGTGTGTGTGTGTGTGTGTGTGTGTGTGTGTGTGTGTGTGTGTGTGTGTGTGTGTGTGTGTGTGTGTGTGTGTGTGTGTGTGTGTGTGTGTGGTGTGTGTGTGTGTGTGTGTGTGTTGTGTGTGTGTGTGTGTGTGTGTGTGTGTGTGTGTGTGTGTGTGTGTGTGTGTGTGTGTGTGTGTGTGTGTGTGTGTGTGTGTGTGTGTGTGTGTGTGTGTGTGTGTGTGTGTGTGTGTGTGTGTGTGTGTGTGTGTGTGTGTGTGTGTGCGTGTGCGTGTGCGTGTGTGCGTGCGTGCGTTCATATGCATCTTTTTTTGTGATGTTGATTTATCTTTTTCTTGTTGCTAGGCTACCCGGTGATGATCAAAGCTTCGGCAGGAGGAGGAGGGAAAGGGATGAGGATTGCCTGGAATGATAATGAGACAAGGTGTTGTGTTTCAGTCATGCCTTTTATACAACAATGTCTTTTTTTAATCCCTTCATCAATGCTCAACACTGAAAGCTGATACAAACTCTCAACTTCCTGTAGACATGCATTGACACTGCGTAGGATGAAAGTTCATAGGCAGAAGAAAATAAAATTGCCAAACTGTCATTACCTTCCAGAGAAATTGATTAGTTACGCAACAATCCTTAGACTTTCATTATGTGAAGGTATTGCTCTGCTCCTAACTACTTATTAATAAATCAGAAATGGTATTGCTTAAACAACGTGGCAGTTACTCTGCTTCCACAACTACTGTTCAGTCTGTGTCACTCAAAAGACTTAAACAGCTAAACCGCAGGGCCAAAACCTTTCATTGCAAACTGTAGCTCAATCACTAATACCACATTTAATAATTACTCCTGCTGCTCTTTGTGACTTGGTTCTACCTCACCTTACTCTCCTTAAGTTGTTTCTACAGTTAATATCTATTATTACTCCTACTCTTGAAATTACCTGCTGCTCCACTTTCTACTTCCAACACCTCAGCTACTCTTCTGACCTACTGCTGTCATCAATAAGTCCTCTTTACACTATTATTACTACAACTACTACGCACAACTGGAGAGACTGCTGTTGTATTTCCTACCTGTAATTCTAATGCATCTCCTGTGTGTGTTCTGTCACAGGGAAGGTTTCCGCTTCTCGTCTCAGGAGGCAGCGTCCAGCTTTGGAGACGACCGGCTGCTTATCGAGAAGTTCATCGACAACCCCAGACACATAGAGATACAGGTAAAACTAAGGTTACCTACTGTAACCCCAGCTTCTATGAGTAAATGGCGTAGCCCTCTAAGGCTATCGCTATTGGGTAATCCCCCTGCGCCCCCGCGCAGCACTGAAACACTTGTAGTCCACGCCCACCCGCAAGGTGGGCCCCACCCTCGGGCTTCCTTCCGGTATAAATAAGAAGGAGGCCCGGCAATCTGCTCCCATACAATATAACTTTTCTTCAGCTATTCGTGGAGCCAGTGGGGCCCAGCACTTATGGCGCATTTCCACTGCAACGGGGTAGCCCCGTTTAAGCGTCCTCGCTCAGGCCTCGGGCTGCCTCGCTGGCCGTCCGAGGCCGTGGCGCATTTCCATTACAGTTTAGGACCTGGGGTAGCAACGCAGTGTAGGCGGGGCGATCGGCTTTGTTTTTGTTCACATTTCGAGTTGTTCCGTTGAGCTCCCGCTGGATTTGATCATCCCCAATGAGATGTAGGAACGTCGTCACCTCCTCGGTCGACCACGGTGTGCTTTTCTTATTAGACGTAGCCATTTTTGTAGCTCATCCGTTTACAAAATGCTGTTTATAAAAATGCTGCAAGCTTGCTTCTAAATATATATGCGACGCTAGGGATGAACTCGCGCGCGATCTTGTGACGATTCTCTCTGACCAATCAGCAGTCGAGAGTGTTGACGTCACTAGTTCAGCCCTGGCCCTGGTCTGATAGAACCACGATTTTATGGGGCCGGAAAAAGAGGGAAAAAGTACCCGCTAGGCATATGCTAGGCTATATGAAAGGCCACCAAAAACTGGCCTAGCCGCTTGAGGACGGTTAAGGACGCTTAAACGGGGCTACCCGCTGCAGTGGAAATGCGCCATTAGAGGGCTTCGCCTATACTCATAGAAGCTGGGGTTACAGTAGGTAACCTCAGTTCTATTTCGTATAGGCTTCGCCCTCTAAGGCTATCGCTATTGGGTTAAGGGCGAAGCATGATGTAGTCTGCGCCCCACTGGGTCCGCCCGGCACTAGAAGCACAGACACACCTGCTCAATAACACCCCCTGCCTATTGTGCCATGCGTAATGGCGCATCACCGTCCCTGGAACATAGCAAAACATGGCTATCTTCCCGACGGGGTGAAGGCTGGGAACAATACATAGCTGCCGCTGTGAGAAAGTAGAGATGAAGGTCCCACCTTGCCCAGCGATCATAGAGGGGGAACAGCAGCTCTCTGCGTGCAGACAGGCAGGAGAGCGCACAGCTGGATCCCTGACGTCACTCACTCTGACCAGGCACTCCGTACAAAGTGTGTCAGAGGAAAAAGGAACATCCCTCCTATAAGAGGGAAAAAGGGCCGCGTGCCGAGAGGCAGGAGAGAGGCGCACAGCTGGATCCCTGACGTCACTCACTCCGACAGGACACCCAGTACAGGGTGTGTCAGAGAGGAATGGGAGACATCCCTCAAATACAATTGAGTAAATGAACAGGGGGAAGACCAAGATGCAGCAGTGCAAATGTCTTCCACTGACATTCCTCCGTGCAAAGCCGTGGAGGAGGAAATTCCTCTGGTGGAGTGCGCATTGATGTTCTCCGGGGGCTCCACCCCAGAGGAGACATATGCCTGTGACACAGCCTCACACAGCCAGTGTGACAGCCGTTGTGCAGACAGAGGTTGCCCGATCGAGCGCTCTCTATAGTGCACAAACAGGCGCTGAGAACGGCGCCAGGCCGCCGTGCGCGCCACATAGCAAGACAGCGTGCACACAGGACAGAGGAGATGAGACGCGGCTTCTTCCTCCGACCTGTGAGGAGGGGGGAATAAGCCAGCCAAGGTGATCACTCTTGACCTAAAAGAGTTGTGATGACCTTAGGCATGAAGCCGGGTTAGGGCGTATAACAGCTGAACTGCCATCTCCTTGGATCCGGAGACATGACGGAGCCACAGGGAGAGCAGACAAATCACTCACCCTTTTCTCTGATAGAGCCAAAAGTAATACTACTTTGGCTGACAACAGTTTAAGGGGAACCTGGTCTAAAGGTTCAAATGGGGCTTTGCTTAGTGCGCGTAACACCAAAGCCAAATCCCACTGAGGCGCCAGTGTGCGTGACACAGGTTTGAGTCTCCATACTCCTCGCATACAACGGCTGCTGCGCTCTGCGAGCCCCTCGGTTCAATTCGCCAGGAATATACATTGCTCTGATGGAGAGCAACGTGTGTGCGCGCCCAGAACATCAGCCGCCTGGCTACGTTCAGAAGCTGCGCAGATCGTACTCCTCCCTGGCGATTGAGGTAGGCTGCTTCCATAGCCGTGGCCTGTTGTCTGTGCAAATCAACACATGTTTGATTGTACAGCAACGGGGCGACTCCCCCGTTATTTTCTGAGATTTTGAAAAATGGCGGGAGTAAAAACCGTGCAAGACACTGTTTCTGGGATGACAGCAGTGTTTCTTGTATCCCATGGAACTGCTGGGGGGAGAGGCTTCTCTGTGATGTGCCGTAATGGTCGTCATGGTGACGAGCCACGCCATCGCCGCCGCTGCCCATGAGGCAAAAGGGCTGCGAGGGAGTTTCCACACGCTGCATTTCACTCCGTCTCTCATCATGAGGCGCGTACACGCCCAGGGGATGAGGTGTGTGTATGCTGTCCACACGAGGCGTTATAACGATGCTCGTGGATTTATTATGAGCGTGTGTAGGAGGCATATCTGGGGCAGAGGAATGCCGCGAGCTCTCATCCATCCATCCATCTTCTCCCGCTTATCCGTGGTCGGGTCGCGGGGGTAGCAGTTCCAGCAGAGAGCCCCAAACTTTCTTTTCCCTGGCGACATCAACCAGCTCTGACTGGGGGATCCCAAGGCGCTCCCAGGCCAGCGAAGAGATATAATCCCTCCACCTGGTCCTAGGTCCATGGTCTACCCCTTGGTCATTGCCGCGAGCTCTGCGGTTTATAAACCAATAGGTTAAAAACAGCAGACATCTGCAGCGAATGAACCACCTCTGGAGTGTCCTCCTGTTGGGGAGACCCAGGGGAATCCGCACGCGACCAGCTGACGCCAATGCCTAGCAGCTGCGTCACGGAGAGGGCTGTGCGGGTTTGTGACACGCCAGAGGAGAGCTGTCAGTTTCTCCACTCACTGCCGCGAGAGCCGCGCTCTGCTGGCTGAGTTTAATTCCACTCCCAGATAAACGATTGTCTGAGAGGGAAGAGGACAGCTCTTCTTCCAATTTATTATGAAACCCAGGCTTTGACAGATGCGATACGAGATGCAACGTCTGTAAAGCGACTTCTTCCCTGGAGCGAGCCAGCAAATAGCAGGTCGTCCAGAGGAAAACACACTCTCATCCCTCCTCTGTGTAGTGGCTCCAGCCTTCTCTACACAAAAAATGCGAGGAGCCAGGAAATATCCAAACGCTATTTCCTGTGTTTCGGGATGATGGGTACGTGGAAGTATGCATTCCTTCAGGTGGAAGTGAACCAGTCGTCCTGGTGAACACATTCCAGCACCTGATTTTCTTCCCCTTGAGGAACCCTGGAAATAGCCTCTTTCAACAGGAGTTCCTGCAGCTCGGATTGGAGCGCAAGAGCAAGACATAGTTTCTGGGAGGACAGGAGTGTTTCCTGTATCCCATTGAACTGTGGGGGGGGGGGAGAGAGGTGAACTGCAAGGTGTAGGCTACCCTCTGCTGATCAGCCTGCTCATCCATCTGTCCATCAGACACACGCGCTGCCACTCTGAGAAAAACTCTGAGAGTGGGCGCACATGCTCGAGATGTGTTTTTGGTCGTCATGGTGACGAGCCACGCCCCTGCCGCCGCTGCCCGTGACGCAACCCAAGGTGTGCTTGGACCGAAAGGGCTGCGCGGGGGCCTCCACATGCTGCGTCTCACTCCGGCTCTCATCATGAGGCGTGTACACGCTCGGGATGGATGGAGGTGTGTGCAGTGCTGCCCACACGAGGCGTTATAACGGCGCTCATGGGTTTATTATGACCGTGTGTAGGAGGCGTGTCTCGGACAGAGGAATACCGCGAGCTCTGCAGGTTATTAACCGAGGTTAAAACCGGCAGGCTTCTGCCGCGAGCCCTGCCGTCTACCTAATCAACAGATTAGTGGCAGCCGGCTTAATTAGCGAGCTCTGCAGTTAATTAACCGATAGGTTAAAACCAGCAGGCTTCTGCAGCGAGCGCTGACGCCGTGGCGCTGCGGGCGCTGCCGGTGGGGGCACTCAGCCTGTAATGGTCGTCATGGTGACGAGCCACGCCATTGCCCTCGCCGCCACTGCCCGTGAGGCGAAAGGGCTGCGAGGGAGCCTCCACACGCTGCGTTTCACTCCGGCTGTCATCATGAGGCGTGTACACGCTCAGGGGATGAGTGGAGGTGTGTGCAGTGCTGTCCACATGAGGCGTTATAACGGTGCTCATGGGTTATTATGACCGTGTGTAGGAGGCGTATCCCGGACAGAGGAATGCCGCAATCTCTGCAGGTTATTAACCGATAGGTTAAAACCAGCAGGCTTCTGCAGGGAGCCCTGCTGTCTAATTAATCAACAGATTAGTGGCAGCTGGCTTAATTACCGGCTCTGCTTCCTCGGAGGCTCTCGCGGAGCAGACCAGGAGCGGGGGAGCCTCACTCCCCTTTGACTCGCCGCCGGGAGACCCTGTCTCTGGGGTGGTGGGGGAGCGGAGACGTGGGACGGAGCCCCTGCAGCCGCCGAAGGGCGAGTCTGATGCCGAGGCGGTTGCTGTGGGCGTCTCTCCGCTTGCGGCCTCCTGTGGCCGGCGTGGACGCCGCGGCTGCTGCGGGCGCTGGTGCCGCTGTGGGCGCTCAGCAGGCTGGAGCCAGCTGTACATGCTGGGGAATGCCGTCCGGCTGTTCCGCGGCCGTCTTCATGGACTCCACCATGGCGTCGAACTGGGGTCCGAACAGCCCGTCCGGGCTGATTGGAGCGTCCAGTAGCACTTTCCTGGCCGTCTCCGTAACAGACGCCTGCTTCCGCCAGAGGGGGTGCTGGATCTGTGTCACCCACGTGGACATCCTCGCCTGGGAGACAGCAACGGACGCGCACAGAATGAGCGCCGTGCTGGCCGCCTTGCTGATTTCCTCTGCCTCGGTGGTGGACCGCTCTACCAGTGTCACCACCAAGTTGGAGAGCAGCGCAATGTTATTCGCCGCCGCGCTGTGGTGACGGAGAGGGGGAAAGCATGATCGGCCGCCAAGCTGGCACCCTGCTCCGACTCTGTCTCCCCCGTCCAGAGGAGAGGAGGGAGACACGAACCGAACGGTGAACCGTGGAGGGAGTTGATTTTCTCCGGCACTCGGCCCCAGGGACACAAGGCCCCCGTCCGCGGCTCGTAAGCCTGGACGGGCCAATCGTCCTCCTCGGGCCGCAGCAGCAAGAGCGTCCGCTCTCCGCTTCCTGTCGCCCGAGGGGAGACGGGCGCAGTGTGTGCATGCTACCTGCTGGTTTAGAGCCGCGTACGCGTGCGCTGACCCCAGGCAGGATTCGCATACTGCTTTTATCTATGCTGGTCATAACTCATTATGAACCCAGAGACACATGAGGGACAATCAATTGCTGTGCTTCAGTAACTGCTGGTTTGCTGAAGAAAAGAGGGAGCAGATTGTCGGGCCTCCTTCCTATTTATACCGGAAGGAAGCCCGAGGGTGGGGCCCACCTTGCGGGTGGGCGTGGACTACAAGTGTTTCAGTGCTGCGCGGGGGCGCAGGGGGATTACCCAATAGCGATAGCCTTAGAGGGCGAAGCCATATACGAAATAGAACCAGTGGGGACATGTTGCTAAGAACAGTTACCTCAGGACCGGTCTTAGGTACTTAGGTTTTGTGTTTTTCTTAAGCTAAACAAAGTGTATCAGATCAGCTTGTCACAATGCCGAAGACGGGGCTGTTTCTCAGAGAAACTCATGAACTTTCTGGAGATACCTCGTTAAATAAATACATCATTAATGCAGCAGAAATGTGAATCCAAATCTAACAACAACACAAAAAAATGAATACATTCCTATTTCCTGTCTGTGTTAGGTTCTGGCTGATAAACACGGTAACGCTCTGTGGCTGAATGAGAGGGAATGCTCCATCCAGAGGAGGAACCAGAAGGTGGTGGAGGAGGCTCCCAGGTCAGTGAGGAACTGCTGTTTGTATGTCAGGCCAATGCAACTGAACTCATGGTCTTACACCAGAGTCACAGCCCTACAGTGCAATACTTCAAAATGTAATGCAAAAGGGCAGACAGCTATCATGTTGGAATGCTGCCACATCTGTTAAATAAAAGCACACGGAGTTTTCTAGTTTGTATCCAAAAAGATAGGAGGTTTGTTGAACATTAGGCCGTAGAATATGTCCCACTAAGTGTAAGTGTGTATTGTTGTTTGTCTCCAGTACCTTCCTGGACCCGGAGACCCGGCGGGCGATGGGGGAGCAGGCGGTGAAGCTGGCCAAGGCGGTACAGTACTCCTCCGCCGGCACCGTGGAGTTCCTGGTGGATTCCAAGAAGAACTTCTACTTCCTGGAGATGAACACAAGACTGCAGGTCAGTGATAGGCTGTGTGTGACTCTCCCTTTTTTTAACAAGAACTAGAAGCTCTTTTTCATGAGTGTGTGTGTGTGTGTGAGGGATAAGAAAATAAATACATAAGCAAGAAAAACACATATAGCATATAGATATAATCAACCAACTCTACTACACCCTCCAGTGGTGAATGGGGTCATATACAATGGAGGTTAGTTCATCACTCAGCGTGTGTGTGTGTGTGTGTGTGTGTGTGTGTGTGTGTGTGTGTGTGTGTGTGTGTGTGTGTGTGTGTGTGTGTGTGTGTGTGTGTGTGTGTGTGTGTGTGTGTGTGTGTGTGTGTGTGTGTGTGTGTGTGTGTGTGTGTGTGTGTGTGTGTGTGTGTGTGTGTGTGTGTGTGTGTGTGTGTGTGTGTGTGTGTGTGTGTGTGTGTGTGGTGTGTGTGTGTGTGTGTGTGTGTGTGTGTGTGTGTGTGTGTGTGTGTGTGTGTGTGTGTGTGTGTGTGTGTGTGGGTGTGTGTGTGTGTGTGTGTGTGTGTGTGTGTGTGTGTGTGTGTGTGTGTGTGGTCAATGGCTTTAGGTCGATGCGTGTTACTCCATCTGTTACCAGGGCTCCTCATTTCAATTCAGTTCAATGGAACTGCTGTGAAAGAGACGATACTGTAAGCCAGTATATTTTCCACAACACTAATGAATTGACTCATGTACAATAATGGGGACCAGAGGTCGCGTTAACCGAATATTTTCCGTCTATGACGGATTTTTTTTAACAATGACGGACAAATCTGAAAGCAGTCCGTGTTATGCATGCCCTCCAAAAAGGAAATCATACCGTTTCCAAACCTAACTGTGCCGTACAAATCATTGAAATGTCTGTGAGTTTTGGCTTTACGCTGTGCACGCTCCCACGAGATGCAGCAGCCATGCACAACGGCGCATGTGAACTGTCCCCCCCCCCCCCCCCCCCCCCCGTTGACAGTTCACGAGCATGCTTTACCCCCCCCCCTCGTCAGAGTTGTATAAAGGCCGACGGGTAATTCTGGATTTTGACAGAACTTTCACGATCCTGTCCAGCCAAAAAGTCTTGCGCAACCTCTGATGGGGACAGATATGTTTTTATATATGTTTTTTTGGCATGGATTGTATTGTAGAGACCAGCAGTTTTCAAAGTGTGAGGCGCGCCTCCCCTGGGGGGCGCCAGAGAGCTTCAGGGGAGGCGCAGCATGAGAAAAAAAATAACGAGAAAAAGACGAGTAAAGTGACACTTGCACACTTTTGGCTGTCTGTGGAGACCGAGTTCCCCCACCTGGCCAAAAAGGCTGTAAAAGTGCTCATTCCCTTCACCTCCATCTACCTGTGTGAGTGCGGGTTTTCCGCATTGACTGTGATCAAAAGCAAGTGCCGGTCAAGCTGCAGCCAGAGGATGCTCTGCGTTTATTCCTGTGTGCATGAGACGCAGACTCATTGTTCCCACTAAAGTAGTAGGGGTGAGTGTAATAAGGAGGCAAAGTTGACGTTTGTGTGTTTCCGGGAGCATATAAGGATGTATCTACGATGTTTAAAATGTTAAAAATGTTTAAAAGATATGTGTTGAGAACACGGCGTGCGGAAATATACGGGTCGTGCTGCAGCTAGATTTGCCTGTCCTCTGTAAGAAGGTGTCGGCGACTGACATGCAAGGAAGAACGGCTGTTCCAACTTTACCAACTTTATTAACTTCCAGGGTAGTGAATTGAACATGCAATTGTAGGTGTGTGGTATATTTTCGTGCACAGACACGCATGTTCCACAACACACAAACTGAACAACACACAAACTGAACAACACTCAATTTTCCGATCGCTACCGCTGTCCTTGCGATCTTGTTATAACAAGAACAAGTGCACGTCACTGATGCAATATGGTTGAGACCATTTGGCCTTATTCAAGGAATAGTCCAAGTAGTGGGGGAGTTTTATACAATATGTTTAAAACTTAAAGATAAAAAGGTTTTAAAAAGTTATTGTTTAATGTTTTAAGGAGGTGACGCTACTCAGCCAATCAAATCGGTGTAGTCAGTGAATCAGCACGATAGATTCAAACACACACACAGAGACGAGACAAGAGGAGAGAAACGGTCTTCATTTTCTCTTACTGGACCTCTTTGAAATGCAATTGAATACCCCTGCATTATAGCAACAACAACAACAATAATAATAATAACAATCGCAATAATAATTGGGAGGGGGGGCACGGCTGTTATGTTCTCTGAGGGGAGGCTCACCTTCCCACACTTTGAAAACCCCTGGTATAGACAGTACAGAGATTACATTAGGCCTGAATCTCCTCTGTTTAACCTTTGACCCCAGGTGGAGCATCCAATCACAGAGTGTATCACTGGCCTGGACCTGGTGGAGCAGATGATCAGGGTTGCTAAGGGTTACCACCTGAAATACAAACAGGAAGACATCCCAATCAACGGCTGGGCCATCGAGAGCCGCGTCTACGCCGAGGTGAGTGTGAGACGTTATGATCCTGGTGTATGGGTGGATTCTGAGGAGAAATTACTATGTCGTAATATTTGAAAAATTTTTAAACATGTGACAATGTTTTTAATCTAAAATTGGAGTTAGGAGGATTAAAGGAAGTTCATTTGTTGTTTACATAACATTCTGCTAAGAGTGTGATTCAGTCCTTTCCATTGGTTAATCTGTTTCTCTATTGTTTGTTCTCTCAGGATCCCTACAAGTCTTTTGGTCTCCCCTCCGTTGGACGTCTGTCTCAATACCAAGAGCCCCTCAACCTCAGCAATGTAAGAAGACTCAACCATAACCTACTGACACATTAGAGCTGAACAGAGGAGCATCAGACCCTCCCTCAGAGTCTGTACTTTGTGGTTTTTCTCTCCCACACCACCCACTAGTCTGAACAACTTCTCCTCGCTCCATCAGGTCCGTGTGGACAGCGGCATCCAGGAGGGAAGTGACATCAGCATCTACTACGATCCCATGATCTCTAAGGTGTGGCATTATTGGATATGAAATGGATTTGTAAATAGTTTGTTTCTTATTTTTTAGGAAAGAAAGACTTTACAAAATGTCAACGTTCAAAAATTATGATTTTGCAATAATTTCCTCTGATATAATAGTGTTATATCAGTTATAGATCCCAATTTGGGAAATGATTTTGTCCCAGCAGCATGTAGGTTAGATATGCACATGAATTAAAACAAAAATGAATAAACAAAAAATATATACCAATAGTGAAAGATATACAATATATCTATAGAGTATCTATTGAATACACAATACCAATATACAGAATTGAAGGCAGTGTACATTGTCATCAAACTCACAAAATGTAAACAGTAGAATAAACAGTTCACATTTGAGTAAGCAGAATAATTACAGTTTTAAATCAGAATCCTCCAGGTACCACCAGAGAACAATGTATACAGAGATGACGAGTGAAACAGTGCTTTAGAGAAGGAGAAATGAGTGAACTCAAGAACACTATGGAGCGGTCTGCTGGCCAGAGTTGAGTTGTTGTATAGACTTAACGCTGTGTGTGTGTGTGTGTGTGTGTGTGTGTGTGTGTGTGTGTGTGTGTGTGTGTGTGTGTGTGTGTGTGTGTGTGTGTGTGTGTGTGTGTGTGTGTGTGTGTGTGTGTGTGTGTGTGTGTGTGTGTGTGTGTGTGTGTGTGTGTGTGTGTGTGTGTGTGTGTGTGTGTGGTGTGTGTGTGTGTGTGTGTGTGTGTGTGTGTGTGTGTGTGTGTGTGTGTGTGTGTGTGTGTGTGTGTGTGTGTGTGTGTTGTGTGTGTGTGTGTGTGTGTGTGTGTGTGTGTGTGTGTGTGTGTGTGTGTGTGTGTGTGTGTGTGTGTGTGTGTGTGTGTGTGTGTGTGTGTGTGTGTGTGTGTGTGTGTGTGTTGCAGTTGGTTACATATGGAGCTACGCGAGCAGAAGCCCTGTCAAAGATGGAGGACGCTCTGGACAACTATGTGATCAGAGGTACATACACACACACACACACACACACACACACACACACACACACACACACACACAGAGGTCTGCCAAGACACAAAGACACTTTTTAAATGTGCATATTTTCTTCCTGTAGTGAAGTTTGGTCACTTTCTCTCCAGGTGTCACCCACAACATCCCCCTCCTGCGGGAGATCATCACCCACCCCCGCTTCATCTCTGGTGACATCACCACCAACTTCCTGCCGGAGGTCTACCCAGAAGGCTTTAAGGGTCTGCAGCTGGGGGCCGACAGTCGCAGGGAGCTGCTGGCGTCTGCTGCAGCGCTGCACATCACCGCTCAGCTGCGCTCCCAGAGGCTGCTGGGGGACCTCAGGTGAGGGCCACAGATCCATGGGGGGGGGATCCAGTATAGGGTATAATCTGCTACCAGAGGTGGGAGGAGTTACAAGTAAAAGTCCTGCATTCAAAATGTTCCTCAAGTGATAGTAGAAAAATATTCTCATCAAAATATAGTTAAAGCAGCGACAGTAAAAGTAGTCGTTGTGCAGATTGGTCCATTTCAGAATAATATATATGATATGTTTTATAATGATTGATCATCAAAGTGTTCTCAAAGCTGGTAAAGGTGCAGCTAGTTTGAATGACTTTGTATACCGCAGGGTAGCTGGTGGATTTACTCCAGGTGGAACTAAAGTCTGATTTAACACTTGATTATATTTCACATCATTCATCCACATCTGAAAAGTAACTAAAGGTATTAACTACAGTGGAGTAGAAGTACACCATTTACATCTGAATACTAGGGTAAAAGTACGAAGTAGCAAAACATACTCAAGTAAATTACAAATATCTCCAAATTGTACTCAAGTACAGTACTTAAGTAAATGTACTTTGTTACTTTACACCACTGTCTGATACACAGAGTCCATATTTCTCACCACATTATCAACATAGCCAAATTGAAAACACTGACTGTCACTGAGCCTATTTCAACATGGAGAGATCTTTTATTTAATGAATCTTCATCTGAGTTGCAGGGTGTCCTCGGCCCCTGTGGAGCTGAGCCGCTGGGACCTGGTCGTGGAGCTGGAGGAGGGAAAACACTCTGTGGCGGTCACCAAGTCAGGGAATGTTTATACTGTGAGTATTTAATAAGCATCCAGGGACAAATGAAATATCTAATATCTTTGTTTACGACAAACGAGTGTCCCTGAAGCACGAGGATAAGAAAGTCACCATCAAACACGCATGCTAGTTAATGTTTGTGGGTTGTCATATAAAGCATTATCATGTTATCAACTGTGTCCAAACCTGAGCTCCAGAGGATGAGATGAAGATCATTCAGCAGGGATTCATGTCACTGTAGTCTTCATCAGTGTGCATCTGGACACCTCTCAGTAGACTCTGTCTGTGTCTCTGCAGGTGGAGGTGGATGGAGAACAGGTGGAAGTCAGTGGACTGTGGAACCTGGCCTCCCCCCTGCTGCCACTCAGCATCAATGGCACACACAGGATGCTACAGGTAACACACACACACACACACCATATCTTATTTACCACACAGAGCGTGGTGAGGGCTGAAGAACCTATAACAGATGAAACTTTAGAGACGTCTGATGCAGTGCTGATGATCTGTTGTCTTCTGTTTCAGTGTCTGTCCAGAGATGCTTCAGGAAGGATTGACCTGCAGTACAAGGGCACATCGGTAAGATGTCTACACACACTTTAATTGTGTATCAACTAGGGCTGTGTCAGTCGATTAAATCGCACATTTTTGATCTGTTCTAAATGTACCTTAGAGGGATATTTTTCAAGTTTTGAATACTCTTATAGTGTGTGTGTGTGTGAGTGTGTGTGTGTGTGTGTGTGTGTGTGTGTGTGTGTGTGTGTGTGTGTGTGTGTGTGTGTGTGTGTGTGTGTGTGTGTGTGTGTGTGTGTGTGTGTGTGTGTGTGTGTGTGTGTGTGTGTGTGTGTGTGTGTGTGTGTGTGTGTGTGTGTGGTGTGTGTGTGTGTGTGTGTGTGTGTGTGTGTGTGTGTGTGTGTGTGTGTGTGTGTGTGTGTGTGTGTGTGTGTGTGTGTGTGTGTGTGTGTGTGTGTCAAAATAATGCGCTGTGACCCCGAAGTAACTGTCATTACTGAGTGAAGTCCAATAGTTTCCGGTGAACTGTGGAATAGATGGTATTTTAAACTCGATGCGCTCTGAAACTACGGGGCGGCCGAGGACAAAAAATGCACACGCGTTAATCGCGTTAAAATAATTAGTGGCGTTAATATTTTTTTATTAACGCGTTTTTTTTATTAACACGTTAACTTGACAGCCCTAGTATCAACACTTCATCACACAGGCTGCTGTCTTAGCAGGCTTTAATGCAGAGTGTAGTGTTAGCTTACAACTCTCAAACACAGAGATCAAACGTCATTCTAACCTCAGCCAGAGGCCTCTGAGGAGCAGGTGGCGGGCAGGAGGGTCTTCAGCGATGAGAAGAACGATGGGTGGGAGTTGTGCAGCTATCATGACTGTTTTTTTAAGATAATGTTGATTTAAATCTGTCATTAAGTTCCATATACTGGTTCTTAACTGATTCGTAAAAGTACTTGTATAGCAGCCTACTGATCAATAGTATGTGAATTATTTACAGTGAATGTATGAACTCCAAACAAAGGGGTTTAAGATGAGATGAGCAACACATCAGTGTTTTTGAGGCTGTGGCTCAGGGGGTAAAGGGGAGTCCAATCAGAGGAGCAGTGGTTCAATCCAAGTTTCCATTGGACAAGATACTGAGCCCCATGAACAATAAAATGAACGCTCCAATGAACAAATTGTTAGGTGGTAAAACATTGAAACATAAACAGTAGCTGTTGACTTTAGCTCACGTTCTCTGCAAGAATGTGTCATAAATTATAGTCATATAATCTCATTAAAAAGTAAAGACTTTATGTACAAATTCTCCAGGGACCATTCTTGTTGATGCTTCTCCATTCTACCTGGTATCTGCCAAGACCTGCAAACAAACAAACATTGCTCTGTTTCTCATCCTCTGTATTTCTGTCTCCAGTTTAAGATCCGTGTTCTGTCTAAGCTGGCTGCAGAGTTGAACTCCTACATGCCAGAGAAAGTTCCAGAGGACACCAGCAGCCTCCTGCGCTCCCCCATGCCGGGCACCGTGGTGGCTGTGTCCGTCAAGCCTGGAGACACGGTAACACATGATGAGCTTTACACCCCGGCAGCAGGGGCGGATCTACGGGGGGGGCAAGGGGGGGCAGTTGCCCCCCCAGCTGCCCCCCTAACTTTTGTTTCCCTAAAACTGTACTAAAATAAACCTACACTATTTCCACAAGCTTCTCAAGCAACAAAACAAGCATTACATTAGTTAAAAGTGAATCATTTAAAATATAATTTTAGGCCCGTTAAAAACGCAGCTACGGCCCTGCATTAAACTGCGGAGCAGCGTTCATACAGACCGCGGCTCACACCGCTGCAGAGAGGGAGCGAGCTGTCCCAGCACCTATGGATCAGCTTCCCCTGGGAGCATTTCCCTTTCCACTAGTTTTGTTTTTACTAAGGACGAGAGCTTGAAACTAAATATTAATAAAACGCTGCCGTTTGAATCGATAGCGTTTAACAGACGGGCACTGTTTGGGGCGTTACGTTACAAAATACTACGCAGACAGCGTTAGCTGGGAGATCGATCACTTTGCTAAACTACGCGGTAGCCTACTATTAAATCCATCGTCATCCTTTACTGTAAAAACTGGATCCAAACACAGCTGCCTGTGTGCGCTTGATCAATACTTTCTGATGTTATATGATATGCTACATATTAGCTAGGCTACATGGCCCTAACACGTAAAGTTATACAAGCATTTGTACCAGTGCTTTTCACAAGTAGACTCTTGCAGGCCAGAGTATAGGGGTGATTCAACAACAACACAAAGACATATGAGAAGTGATCAGGACGAACAGAAAGAGGAAAAGGAAAAGAGAGTTCACTGAAGAGACCAGGAGGGTCAGAGCAGGAGGAAGAGGAGGAGATGAAGAGACCAGGAGGGTCAGAGTAGGAGGAGGAGATGAAGACATTAGTGAAGAAGAAGAAATGTATGTGAGGAATAAAGATGAAGTATCAGAAAGAGGGCCAGAGGCAGGGATCAGGAGGCAGATGAAACTCCAGCTGGACCACATGGTATGTTCTTATTCTCGTTACATATTCCATTACAGCAGCTCAATCTAGCAGCTCTTAGTATTGAAAAATATTGATTGAAATGTGTTGCTGCACAGGTCACCTTTAGCTCTCTGAAGAGATGGGTCATGTCATTTGTGTACTTAATTATAAGTTGAAATGTTGAGCTTGTCAATCTTAATCTGAAAATACAAAAACTGAAATATAGGTAAGAGAAGAAACTGACACTTTTGTGATGTAATTCCCTCAATGCAGATCACACATGGACTGATCCATTATTTTTAATAGGAGGGTAAATTGTATGGCGTGACGGGGTTGTAACAAACTGAGGGACGATATTGCAATTTCATAGATAATTCAAGTATTTTTTCAGAATTTATTTTTGATCAGTTAAAGTTGACAAGCATATGATTATATTAGCAGCAACATTTTGGGATAATTGGCCATTTTGATTTGTTTAATATTAAATTAATATGTAATAATGCTTAGTGAGGACATGCAAATATGTCTGTCTAATACTAAGACAACCAATTTTTTTAAAACAAAATATATATTTAGTTTTACATTGTAATGCAAATAAACCTGTTCCATTAATTCATTGCTTTAAAATACATTTTGTAGTTTCCTTTCATTTAAAATGGTTGAGGTAAGCTTGGGGGACTCAAAGGGCACCCGATTGTTTGTCTGAACACCTTGTTTCTCTTGTGCATTAAGAACACTTGTGTTAGGGCATGAAATAACAATAAATAGGTTATATACAGTGTAAAATACCACGTACTGTCCGCCCTCCCATGCCACCCTGGCATGAGCTCTTGCCCCCCCTTTGCCCCCCCATGTAAAATGTTCTAGAACCGCCACTGACCGGCAGCCACAGTGGACAGTTCTTATTTGTACCCGGGGTCACCTGACTGATCCATGTTCCAGGGTACACTGCAAACTGCCATGCTCTGTGACCTCTGTCTGTCCTTCTTAGTTTGATCTAGGCCTCTGAGTTCCAATGAAAGGAAATATTGATGTTAAAGCATAAAGTGAAGTTTTACACAAAAGTGTGCTTCAGTTTTGACCCGCCCTTATCCTGTTTCAACACGCACAAATCCAGCTCCATCAAGACATATTTTTCCCAGTTGTTTCCCTTTTTAGTAGGCCAACTGGAAGTTAGCATCTCAAGGGCTGCCTCGACAAAGAGCAACGGGATATTTCCATTGCTTTTTAGAATATTGCATAAAAAAAGATTTGTGGCAAACACGTTTTACTTACACATTTTGTAATAATAATGATAATCTACACATATTAAAAAATACTTGTATGATTCAGTGCCTTGCTCAGGGGCATCACAGGGCCCAGAAGGTGAACTGGGAGCTCTCCAGATACACTCCACATTTGAGGTCTGGTCAGCGACCCTGAGACCCACAGTCCAAGCCCCTACTGACTGAGCCACTGCTAAGCTAAAGGCTAATGTTGGGCTTGTTCACATTTTTCCACAACATCATGAGACCATCTCTTCAGCTTGTGTCAATGACTATTTCAGGCATCCAACCAATAACACAATCCCAAAAACATTGACTTCCAGACAAGGGTAGTGGAAGTATTTTTTTAAAGATGTATATACAATATATTGTTTGGAAAAATCCCATTTTCTTTTTTATCGAGGGACGCCTTGCACTTCTAGTGCCCAGGTTGGCCTTCAAAAATCTGTCATCACTGCACCGCTCTGTTCAGCCATGGGAGTGACATCAGCACACGGGCTAATGTGGAGTTCACGTCACGGTCGCAGAGTGTACAAGGGGCTTTGATCAGTGTTCTTGTGTGATCAGTGATTGTTTGTAATGTAGCTGCAGACTCACAGGGTGGACTGGAACACTACTCAGCCATTGTTATTTTTGTGTGTGTGTGTGTGTGTGTGTGTGTGTGTGTGTGTGTGTGTGTGTGTGTGTGTGTGTGTGTGTGTGTGTGTGTGTGTGTGTGTGTGTGTGTGTGTGTGTGTGTGTGTGTGTGTGTGTGTGTGTGTGTGTGTGTGTGTGTGTGTGTGTGTGTGTGTGTGTGTGTGTGTGTGTGTAGGTTGCAGAGGGTCAGGAGATCTGTGTGATTGAAGCCATGAAGATGCAGAACAGTCTGACTGCTGCCAGGGGCGCAAAGGTAACAGTGACAGAGAACTAACAGTCATCATTGTTCGTAACTAATCTAGTTCATAAATTATAATGCTTGTTGCTAAAATCAGTGAATCCCTACTCATGAATATAAGGTCCACCAAATAGTTGCCAAAGTGATAAATGATCAGGTGGAGAAGATTTTAATGAAACATGTAAAATATTAACATTCTGGTGTGTGTGTGTGTGTTCTCCTCCAGGTGAAGAGTGTGCACTGTAAGGCGGGGGAGACAGTGGGAGAGGGGGACCTGCTGGTAGAGCTAGAATAAATATTGACCTTTGACATCATCACCAGGAAGAGCCTTACCCCCTCTGAGTCCTCAGAGGAGGATCCACACTGGACAATAACAGACACTCCATCATGTTGCCAGTGGTTACTCTCCGGAGAGCCCCCCCCCCTCACCACCATGACGATGACTCAGCAGTCTGCTCCACATGTAACACTAACCCTGCAGCTGCACACAGACCTCCTGTAAATCAGTCCATGCTTGTGTTGAGTGTGTTTTCTAGACCTGATTGTTTGTGTTGTTTTTGGAGTCAGTTTAACCACATTTCAAAATATTGTCCCGTTTCACCTTCATGCTGTTTGCCTTGCAGATAGTTTCAGTTATATGCCAAGGTTTTTATGTCTGCTTCCAATAATATGGACTTGGACCTTTGGTGTGTAAGCTGCTCATGACTCTTCCAAATGTTCTTTTTCTTTAGACATTTTAAGAGACAGATATCTCAATTACAGTAAAGATGCTGTGCTCATTCTTCCAACTGTAACTGAATGAACTGCTAAATGAACCGTTAGATTTAGACTGGAGAATGTTCTGGTTTCCATCCTGTGCTCTGGAGTCAGGTTTCCTGTTGTTGGGGGGGTCCATTTGTCTCCATGGTGCAGGTCCAGCCTTGATCAGACCTCACTGAACCGGTGTATTTATATTACAACCAACTTCCATCTGTTAAACAATAATGTGACTTCTAGAAGCAATTGGCTGACCAGTGATGATTTACTGTAGGTTAGGTTTTCCTTATTAGAGACAGAGAACACTTTTGCAAACATCTTTCATCTGTAATTAATGTAGAGGATTTGTTTTAATGTAATAGAACTTTGATTAAAAAATAAACACTTATCAAAATATAAAATGGGATTAATATTTTCTATGAACCATGTTGTGTACTGCGTTAATCTGGCATAAAGTGTGTGCCTAAAAAGCATATATAGGAAATAAAGACTCCAATAAAGGCAAGGCAAGTTTATTTATATAGCACTTTTCAACACAAGGCAATTCAAAGTGCTTTACAAAAAATGAAAGACATTAAGAAAATGGCATCATTAAAAAGAAAAGCTAATAAAATAAACATTAAAAGAAAAAATACATGGATAAAAGTTACAGTGCAGTCTAAGATATGAATAGTTCAATTAAAAGCAGCGACAAAAAGAAAAGTCTTCTTGCTGGATTTAAAAGTAGTCAGAGTTGCAGCGGACCTGCAGGTTTCTGGGAGTTTGTTCCAGATATTTGGAGCATAATAACTGAACGCTGCTTTACCATGTTTAGTTCTGACTCTGGGGACAGAAAGCTGACCAGTCCCTGAAGACCTGAGAGATCTGGATGGTTCATCATTTAGCAGGAGGTCAGAAATGTATTTTGGACCTAAACCATTCAGTGCTTTATAAACCAGCAGCAGTATTTTGAAATCTATTCTTTGCCACACAGGAAGCCAGTGTAAAGACTTCAGAACTGGAGTGATGTGATCCACTTTCTTAGTGTTAGTGAGGACTCGAGCAGCAGCGTTCTGAATCAGCTGCAGCTTCCTAATAGATTTTTTAGTGAGACCTGTGAAGACACCATTGCAGTAGTCCAGTCTACTGAAGATAAAAGCATGGACAAGTTTTTCCAAATCCTGCTGTGACATTAGTCTTTTAATCCTAGATATATTCTTTAGGTGATAGTAGCCTGATTTAGTAACTGTTTTAATGTGACTGTTGAAACTCAGGTCAGAGTCCATGACTACACCTAGATTTCTGGCTTTATCTGTTGTTTTGAACATTGCAGACTGAAGCTCAGTGCTAACTTTTATACGTTCTGACTTGGCTCCAAAAACCATTACCTCAGTTTTATCTTTGTTTAATTGGAGAAAGTTCTGACACATCCAGTCATTGATTTGTTCAATGCACTTACTCAGTGTTTGAATTGGAGCATAGTCTCCTGGTGAAATAAAGACTTTTCTGTTTCCCACATTTCTTTTTAAAGGCTCACAATAAATAAAAAAAGTTACTTTTGAACTTACTGTAAAACAAGCAACACACCTGTTCCCTCTGTGTCTCCATTGAGAGCTTCAAAAAGCAAATCAAGGTCTTTGATCCTCAGTAGATAAAGTCAGTCATCCTCTTTGGGAATCACTAATACTTTTATTTTGTTGCTGCTGGTTTGTCATCTTCTCTCAACTGACTTCCACCCCGTTTGGTTCTCCCATTTTTAATCATTTTTTATTTAGTTGCATAAAAAGAACACACTTTTTGTAATTTCTCATTTGTTGTGTCCTCTAAATGTGAAAAAAAATTCCGATCAATAATCATGATTTAAAATGGACTCACTGCTGTTATGATTGATATATTGGTTGTTAAAGCTTACATTATAAATAGCAACCCCTGATAAGAAATGTCCCTCAGCTTTTAGGAACAGATGTAGACTCTTCATCTTCTTCACACATATGACCATGCTGCTGTGGCTCAGGGGGAAGTGGGAGCATAGCAATCAGAGGGTCAGTGGTCTGATCCCCTGCCCCTGCAGTCAATGTGTCCTCGGCTGGATACTGAACCCCAAACTACTCCATACTCTACGGCAGGGGTGTCAAACTCAAGGCCCGGGGGCCAAATCCGGCCGTGACTTCATTTTCTGTGGCCCACAAGAGCTAGCAAAGAATATAATATGTTTATTATACGGTTACATGCCGATTTACAGAAGCACGTAAGCCCATAAACTACATGTCCCACAATGCATCTCAAATTAGCCTTTTTTCTCAGAATTTAAACAAATAATAAAATAAACAAATGAATTTTTATTTACTACATTTACAAAGAAACATGTTCAAATTGAGTAAATCTTTTCTGCACCCTAGTTTCTATAAAGTTAAGAATAATTGCATCAGCGACAAACAATACAATCTGTATATTCATAATGTGAAGATAAACTTCTGTTGTTGCAATGTTGAGGTAGAATGAAGGAGTCTGGCACGTCGTTAGCCAAAGCACTGAGAGTTTATTGAACACAGTACATACACATACGGCCGGGAGATCACTTAGTTTCCCATCGTCCTGAGGTCCACCAAAATCATCTCTGCCGAAAAGACCCACAGAACGCAGCAACACGAGGAGAGGCGGGCTCACAGAAGTCCGCGTTTACCTAATCAATAGCAGATGTGAGACAATAATCTACTTGTCTCAAGGAGATGCAGGCAGGTCTGAAACCCTTCCCCCACAGAATATGGGAGAAGCGTTTGACCTGTGACCTCAACTTACAGAGGAGTTTTTACTAAACACCACAAGCAGATGTTTGCAGTATCACAGATTCTAAGAAACCATAAGAAACTCTATAAACAGATCAGATTAAAATATTCTCTTACACATAACATTAGATTATCAATTCCCATAATTGTCCTGAGAGCTTTTGCGCCACCATCTGCATGGTTGCTTGTCTGATCAAGAAGTACAGTCACTATCAGCAGGCTCAGACTGTTAGTGATGAATACATTCCCTCTGTTGCCTTTCTGAGGTGAGAGTTGAAGGGACCACCTAGAGCTTGTTTAAGAACAACAGGAAATGTTACAACACGGTACATGAGATTTTGTTCTTCCATGACTTTCTGTTTTCGGGCATAGTCTGGGTCAGAGGCGGTGTACTGCACCACATCAGCGTCAACCTCAAGGTCTTCCCGTTAAGTCACATGCTTCTCCATTGGATCAAAGATTGGAGCTTCATTGACATCCTCCACAGTCACCACCACTGTGGCCGTGGCAGTGGGCAGAGAAGTAGCAAAAGGAACCTCATTCTCCACGGCAACCATCAGAGTGTGCGTGCCGCTCGTCTCAAAGTCGAGACCCTGGTTGGATGGAAGATAAAAAGCAAAGTGACAGTTCATCACAGCTCACACTGCTGTACAACCCAAAGGTACCTTTTTTTTACTGAGATAATACACGTAAGTGTTTGTTATCTGACAAACAGAGCAGGTTAATGCAAACCAACTATAGAACAATACATTTATTGTAAAAATCACTAAACTTTATGAATTCTGAGAGAATGCACAATATTAGTTTCCTTCCTACCTTGACAGTAGAGATGATTCCTTCGAGCTTGTTGGTTCCTGTTTTCACTGTGAAAAGTCCTCCGGGATCACCATCCACGATGGTGAACTTGGCGTTCCAGGCTGGGGAATGTGGCTCGTCTCCGTCGGTTACTGACATGGTGACGACCAGAGTGTCCGCTTTATTTTCAGCTACTGATGCCTCATACTGTGGGGAATGAAGGAGGGGGTAGATAGAAGTGAAACAAATAATGAAGACAAAGATTTTTTTAAATGCTTGGTGTTAAACAAAAGTACGTTTTTATGATCTGCTTTCATAATGGGCGGCAGTGGTTCAGTCTGTAGGGACTTGGACTTTGGATTGAAGGGTCGCCAGTTCACAACCAAACAAATACGGAGTGTGGACTGGTTCTGGAGAGGAGCCAGTTCACCTCCTGGGCCACTGCCGAGGTGCCCTTGAACAAGGCACCTAACCCCACAGGGGTTGACTGGCTGCCTCTCCTCTCTGGACCTCTCAATGCATGTGTGAATGTATAACTGTGTGTATGTACAACTGTGTGTATTTGTATGTGCGCACAAAAGACATAACTGTGTATTTGTATGTACCTATATAAGAAGCATTTGCATGTATACAAAACTGAATTCCTCAATAAAAAGGTCCATCTTCTTCATGCACTTTAGTTCAATGCTAATAATGTAAATAATAAACTTCCAGGACCCATACTGAGATCCGATCCTACAAGAACTACTACTAAAATGAAAAAGAAGCAGTCTTTATTACTAATAATCTTTTACATCACCAAAAAGGTTTCTGCAGCAAACCTGTCATTGACCTTAAGTTGACCGTCTATAAACTGGAGCTTTCATACATCAATACATCAGTTTGAAACCACTACCTAATGAAATTGCCAGCCACTAGCTTGACAGACATCATTTCAGTCACAAGGATGTTGTACTTACCAATGGCTGAGTGAAGACCGGAGCGTTGTCGTTGCTGTCTGTCACAGTAAGGATTACTTTGGTTTCTCCTTCCAAGCCTCCTCCCTTCATGTCAGCGGCTTGTACAACCAGAGTGTACTTTGGGTATTTCTGTTAAAAGAGACACACGGAGTTTAACTCAACTGGAAGCCTTACATGATTTGCTCTAATTTCAAAGAACCCATTAAAAAGCTTCAAGTAGAAATGTCTAGTATAATCCCATTAGCCTCAGCAGAGACAGATTTGTCGCTGCGTTAGCGTGGCAACCGTACAAGATGCAGTCGAGAAGCTATACAGATGTGGAGTTTTGATCAAAATGGAGTTCAATAATGGCCATGGTGAGAACAAGGGCGGGGGGGGGGGGGCAAGCGACCGTAAGATAACATTACAGGAAAAAGTAGAAAGAATGCCTCAGACCCTGTTTGGGGGCATTTCTCTTTCCAACTACAAAAGCAGTTTATAGCCACAAGATAACTTCAGTGAAATGTCATTAAAAAAAAAAAAAGTTTGAAAAATCCCACCCAAGCTTTATTTAAACCATCGTACTTAAACCAAATAAAACTAGTTTGTCTGAAATAAAGGTGATTTAAAAAGGTTAAATGTGAAAGCACACAGGTGAAATTGGTTTTAGAAGTCTCACCTCTCTGTCTAGCCCACCGGCATTGACTCTGATGACTCCATTATTTTGGTTGATTTCAAACAGGTTGTCTGCGGGCAATTTTGGCTCCTGGTCTATAATTCTGTAGAGGATATCCGAGTTGTCAGTAAGTGGCTTATCAGCATCGGTGGCAACAACCTTGATCACCTCAAAACCTGAAAAGAGAAAAGTGCAAATAATGTTCAGAGGTTTCTTCAAAGTTCGCAGAACACTTTATTCAAAAGTCACCTATCATGCTATTTGTAGGCAATAGCATAGGTCTCAGATATATAAAATATATTAAAAAACATGTCTCTGAATTGTTTTGCTCAAAATACCAAACAGATCACCCATTCTAGCCAGGCCTCATATACCTATAGTTCACTTCCTGTTACAAAAGTGCTGATTCTGGGGTTGCGGTCGGATAATCCAAAAATCAGCTCCTAAATTCTAACCCTATCGTCTATTCCTTGACCTCTGAGTGAAACGTCACGGGGTTAAGGGATAGTGGATAGGAGAATCCAAAAGGATTTAGGAGAAGAGACTGCGGTACTTTAGAGAATCCGACTGCACTTTCACTATCCGACGTGTTTATGATGCGCCAGCGGACGTCATGAATGTGCGTCTGCTGCTGTGGGGGAACTATGGAAACTACAGTTTTCTATACAGCGGACTACAACATGGATGTTTAATAAGAACGAGGGACTACTGTAAACTCATCTGCACCGTGCTCTGATGCTGTTGTTTTATGCTTTATGAACGTGGACAACAGAGAAACATATTCTTCATGACCAAAGTTGGAATTGAAATAAAAAAGGAAAGTGTAACTTATGCTCGTCACCCTCTCCCTCCGGTCCACATTAATACAAATGATCCCAATACGTATGATTGTATGAACTATGAAAATATCTTAAAATCAATACAAATGTATTTATTATAAACGTTAGTCCTTAACATCTATCACTGTGTATATCACCATTCAAACATCTTTTAAAAGTTGAACAACCCCACACAGCTCAGTGAAATGTTGACTTTATTTGATCATTTCAGTAAAAACTAACGTTCATATTTCTCTTTTTGATTATAATACTGATGAACGTTCAGAAAAAGCACTTTGGCAACTTACCACATACGTTTTAAAATGCTTAATAAGCACCGTAACTTTCATGATATAATTTTTCCATCATTTCCGTCACGACTGTTGTGTGACGGCAAATGCTGCGGCTGCAATGCATTGTGGGGCAGCATTTTCTCCTCTCCTTTCGGTTAGGGAGGTCCAGTGGTTCCTAAGCTAAAGGAGGTTATAAAGGAAGTTTGAAACCTCTTTTCCTTTCATTTAGAGAATTGGAACGGCTCTTATCATGGCTGCCACTGAGGGACTTCCGGGTCATTTCACTCCGTTAGGAAGGTTCCTAAGCTAAATGGACTATTCGACTTCAGCCCAAGTATAAAGCTTTAAAAAATATATATATATTTGAGAAAAAAAAGAAGAGGGCGCAACGTTTATGCCTGCTCATACTGGCAGATACTGCCGTGATGAAACGCCATATATTGTTCAAAACCACATCAAGAATTATTTCTGAAACAGTATGGAGCTCAAAGGCGTTCCGTCTTGCCGGTTTACCACAAGGCGAGTTCCTTTTTATATCCTGCTTCTTCTGAAAAGCTGGATCAGCTCCGTTGTAGCCCCGTTTAAAGAGAGAGGGTTTTATTTTCTGACGCTGCGCGAGTTCTCTGACACACCGGGGATACATATTTATGTATAAAAGACATCAAAAAGTGCATCTTGCATGATAGGTCCCCTTTAAAAAAAAAAAAAAAGGGTGATTAAAGAAATAAAGTTGGGCTTGTATGATGGTTTTCTTTCTAACCCAACTATGTGAATGTGCTGTGCTCTGGCTCAGTCAGCGAAGTCATTTTGGAGTCGTCATACCCCATATAATGTAAACAAATTAACCCTAAATATGATCACTAACTACTATTATGCATCATGCACACAGGTAGATTTAGAAACCAAAACATTCTTGAGACAATTGTTTTTCTGGCCTAGAGCCATAGTTTCATCTGGAAACATATTTTGGGAATCACTGACGGTACCTTTTGCCGAGGCCTCAGCCACTTCCCCCAGGTAGGTGTCTTGGGAGAAAACAGGTTTGTTGTCGTTCTGGTCAATCACTTTCACATTAATTTCCATTGGTTCCTCGCCCATTCCTGCACCATCTGCCACCGCGTGTGCTAGGAACTGCATACAACAAAAACATTTATATTATAGTACTATATATATGAAAGATATAGCCATTTATCCATTTCATATCGCTAGCATGCATAGAGACTGTTTTCGGATGTGATAATAGAGGATGATATGGAATGACGTCCCGAGTCGAGCAACTAGGGCTGCTCGATTATGGCAAAAATCATAATCTCGATTATTTGGGTCATTAATTGATATCACGATTATTAAAAACGATTATCCATTTACTTTGAAAACATCAATTTATTAAAAAATGTGAACAGAATGTTTTTAACAGTTGATTACCCTGAACTGTAAGTATAATTCAACTGAAAAACCAATACAAAATTATCGTTTTATTTCGATTATGTTGTTTTCATAATCGTTGCAAGCCAAAATCATAATTGCGATTAAAATACGGTTAATTGAGCAGCCCTAGCACCAACAGAAGAAGTGTTTGGTACCAAGAGTTATTATTTTTGGATAGGTGTCGTTTGACAAGCCTAAACGGCTGTGATTGGTCTCATCAGTCAAAAATAGTACAGGTGCATCTCGATAAATTAGAATATCGTGGAAAAGTTCATTCATTTCAGTAATTCAATTTACAAAACGTGAAAACTCATGTATTATATAGATTTATTACCGAGGTGAATTATTTCAAGTGTTTATCTTGATGATTAAGGCTTACAGCTAATGGAAATTTGATTACTACATTAGACTAATACAAAAACAGATTTTTAATACAGAAATGTCAGCCTTCTGAAAAGTTTGTTCATGTGTTTGCACTCAGTACTTGGTTGGCTCTCCTTTTGCATGAATGACTGCATCCATGCGGCGTGGCATGGAGGCGGTCAGCCTGTGGCTCTCCTGAGGTGTGATGAAGCACAGGTTGCTTTGATAGCGGCCTTCAGCTCGTCTGCACTGTGGGGTCCCGTGTCTCTCATCTACCTCTTGACAATACCCCATAAAGCCCTTCATGCTTCCCTCTTCTGAAAAGACTGGAGATGCTGACTTCCTTTTCCAGCAGGACTTGGTACCTGCCCAGTGGCGTAACTATCGACAGTGCAGCCGGTGCATTGCACCGGGGCCCACAGCCGTCCAGGGGCCCATGCAAAAACAAAAACAAAAATGTATATATATAATTTTTTTTTTTTCATTTTTTTTCAAAATATATTTTTATTTTGGGGCCCCAATGACTGGTTCACGCAGTCTTCAAAGTAACCTAGCAACCTACATTATGTTTTAATTTGTCTGTCCAATGACCTTGCTCCCTTTCATGTCATGTGATACCTTGCGTGACGAGCAAACCGTTTAATCAACATCAAAAGTTATATGTACTACACAGCTATAGCAGCAGCAAGATCGGCAGAATTATAACAAATTGAATAGCTAGCATTTATAATGTACAGCAAACCAAAACACAAGAGCGGTGCTCAAAAGAGAAAGGACAAGAGAGAACAAGGAGATAGGCTAAACAGACAAAATTAGAAAAAAATGTTTGTCAAACATCGTCCTCGAAATCGAATGCTAACGTTGGTAATGTTGACGTGCAGCGGCAGCCGGAGCCGGAGGCTAACGATAGCTCACCTGCCTCACCATCATCTAGCTCCACAAGTGAAGCTGTATCCGTGGCTGTGCGACCTTCTTCTCCAGCCATGAGCCAGGAGGAGAGGATGGATTTGGCTGTGCCCGGTGGTGGTCCTACAGTTCCCGCAAGGGCCCCGCCCCCAACCGATAGGGGATTCTATGGCCCTATTGAGACCCCCGACGCCAAGATCAAAGGCTATATTATAGCAACTGGCCCATGTAGGCCTATCGGCCCATTCCCCAGAGACACACATCAAGGAAACAGGTGTTTCTCCGAGATGTTTTACACCACCACTACCAGAGCAGATACCAAACTGCCACGGACATGGCTGTGTTACTCCCCCACCCTGGACAGTGCCCATTGTGAGCCGTGCTGGCTGTTCGCAGACCGAGGTGCACCGTTCTACAGTGATGCGTGGACATGCGTTGTCTGCGAGGATTGACTCACATGCACAATCTCAGGTCCATGTTGGAGCGTGTGTCATTGGAAGAAAAACGGGAGAATCGATGCAAACATGGAGAGGAATGCCGACATTTCTGTATCAACAATCAGTTTTTGTATCAGTCTTATCTAATATTCAAAATTTTCTGAGATACGGATTTCTGGGTTTACATTAGCTTTAAGGCGTAATCACAAAGTTTAAAACAAATAAACGCTGGAAACTTTTAATTTCAATTAATTAAATTTTTACAAAATTCTACTTTATTGAGATGCACCTGTATGTAGTAGTATTACACTTGTTTTGTTTATTCAGATTCTAAACTAATACATTCTGAAGGGAACTTGAGCACAAAGCACATCCAGATGTGTCTCTCTGATCCTGAAACAAAGAGTGTGTGTATAAAACCAAGACGTGCTCACCTTGTATACATCTATCTGCTCTCTATCCAGTGGTTGTGTGAGGTACAGACTGCCAGAGTCTCTGTCCATGACGAACAGGCCAACAGGATCCTGATCAGCTCCTGGACCAGTGATGCTGTAGAAGATCTTCTTTACCTTGTCCTCATTGGATCGGATCTGGAAAAAAGCAACAAGGCTGAGTTAGGGCTGAATATATGAGTTACAATAATGCAAAAATATTGTCACAATAGTTTGAATTAAACTGCATTAACATCTCTGAGATACAGCCACCTCAGTCAACTTTACAGGGGTGGGGTCATATCAGCCACAGAGCGCCTGAGAACAAATATACCATTTCATTTCCTGAAAGGACGATTAGACTTTTCATTAGAAAGCAACTTTTTGTACAATAAAACAAGGTGATTGTTTTGTTTGAATTAATGTAACATTGGCTTTATTTTGAGAGCAGTGGAGAGAGACGACCACAAGAACATTTGAAGCTATATTTAAATTGACATTAAATCGAAAAAAAAGAATCAGAGCAGAATGACAGCAGCAGAAACCATGAAGGAGCCCTCCTTTACAGAAACAGATATTTAATATACAGATTAGAATGAAGGGGTTTTAGTTCCTCTTACCTGAGAGACTTTCAGTGGGAAGGGTCCTCTGACGTTCTCAGAAACACTGATGACAGGAATGACCCAGTCTCTCTTCCTCCTCCTCAGCCCTGCACTAGCTTTGCGGAAATGCAGAATGGGCACCGGCTGATCGGCGACACTCTGAAAGAACATGCTCATAATAGTCAGTTATTTTGCCGCAGACATTCCACATTGGACTCATTAGCCTAAAGTGCTGAAACAGAGAAGTTACAATGACAATGAAGAAATATCTGATCATGTTACTTTTGTACTATATCCTATTATATACTGTGTCATCATTTCTGACAGAATGACTTTAAAGTATTTTATTCATCCAGGCTAAAGAAACCTAACACACAAGATGAAGGCATACACAAAGCGGACAATGACATCAACTTCAGAAAATGGGTAGCAACATAAATGATAATTGCATTAAATAAGGCAAATTCAAGCACATTTTTAGCACAAAGGCTGTTTGGCCACAGACTTTCTTTTTTTTTAAACTGTTATACTAATACTTATCTCATCATCTCTTTAAACAGCAATGGTTATTGCAAAGCGTCCCACAGGACCAGAAACATTTGCAGAGAAATGTAATTATAGCCTTCATTAACACATAAGGTGCTAAGAAGTTTAATATAGGCACTAATAAACAAATAAGTAGTCCTAGTATCAATCTAAAATGGCTTACCTATGAAAATACTCACAATAACTAAATGGAAGCAGTGAGTGTTGGCTATTCATACGCAGCCACAGAGGGGCAGTGTTGTTATGAACAGGTGTTGTGTGTGTGTGTGTGTGTGTGTGTGTATATATTTAATATATTGTTTTGAAAATAGTTTTATTAAGACTAAAAATGTATTCTCAAACACCCTTTCAATAGTGTCACTAATCCTACCTGAGTCTTATTAGCAGGGTCCACTTTAGTATGGTGGTGGTGATGGTGCTGGTGGTTGTGGTGTATGTGGTCTCCATGGTGATTGCTATGATGCAATACTCTGACAGGAACACTAATGTTGTGTCCTTGAGAGGTCCAGGTGTGGACGAAGAAATCCTGGTTCCCACGAATATGTACAAGTTCTTTCACCTGGAGGGAAGACAACAGTCATCATCGAAGACCAGATTGGTGCAATAACTTTTAAATGTAGCCTACAAAACTGACTGTGAATATTGCTGTATTTTGCAAAACGCAGGATTGTAGCACAACAAGGAAGTTAAAGCAGTGCTGTGCTATTTAAAATGTGAATGTTCAATACAAATATTCTGTCACAATATCAATTAATAATGGTTAGAAATTGTAATCTCAATGACGATCACATTTTGCAATTGAGCCTTACATGTGTACTGACCTTCAGTATGCCGTCTCCCTGTACCGTGAAATGTCTGTCATCACTTTTGAAGACAAATATGGTGCGGTCTGTGCAGTCAGTGAAGGCCACTAGAATTAAACAGAAGAAATGGTCATACATTACAAATGCAGTACATTCAGAGAAACATAGCAAGAGCTGGCAATGGAGAAAAGCAGATGTTCTAGGAACTAAAAAAAGTCAACTAAAGAAACACTTTCTCGACACTGGATTAAAGAGAAGAGTGTATTTATAACTTATTGATGGCCATGCTAAAAGGAAAGCAAAAGGATCAAATAAAAGAGAAAACTAATCAGATAACACGGTCTGATTTCCGCAGCAAGACTAAGAAGAGATTCCACCCGAGATTTGCTACAGGAAGCTTGTGATAGCAAAGAAAAGCCCAACTCAGGCCATGGATCAACCAAAAGGCAACCTTGAATTAAAGCGCAGCTCACTCGTGTGCTCTCACCCCCCAACATCTAGCCCAATGCATGCTGGGGTATTCTCTAGTGGAACCCTGCACAGGATAGCCAGTATCGTGGGGCTGGCCTTTTTCTAAGTGGCTGTGACTAAGAGATAATAAGCAGTATAGTGAAGTAAAGATGTTGATAACTTTGACTGCTGTAGTTGGTTTTTCTCAGTTGTGACTTTTGGTAAAAAAATCTACTTCTACATTAATATTTGACAATGGATTCGAAATAACTGGTTAAACAAATCGTAAACCTCCCAGAGCAAACCAGTAGCCTGGTTCATTATTGTAGAACATTGTCATAAACAAGCAAATATTTCACAATCAGACATAAGCCACTATTTGAATAGCACATCCTGCAGAACAGGCTCGGGGACACTGTTGTACCCTGCAGGTAAGAGCATTAGGTGCAAGCTGAGACCTGAGGTAGTTTGGGAGTGAGAACAATGTGAGCAGCTAATCTGTAGACGGCAATCTGAGTCAGTCGAGCACGTTAGAAAAGCTCAGGAGTTTTATCTATGGCTTTAACTTATAGATCCAAATGCTATAGTTCAAATGTTCCCATTGAACATGGGAAACAAACAACCCAATTACCTTGAAGTGTTAACCAAAGAGTGAAAGCTTCACAGATTGTTCCTACCTTTTCCCAGTCTTGTGTGTGGCTTCAGGAACTTTGTGGACACTTTGAAAATGAACCTGCTTGACTTGAATCCAGGTACACATGTTGGCTCTTCGGCAGGCACTAAGACAGAGGCCTAAGAGAGGAAACAGACTTCAATTCAATATAAATCCAGATGTATGGAATATGGGTAAAACAGTAGCTGACAAGAACTGTTATTTAGTCGGATTTTGTTAAGGAACTTTAAAATGACACTCCTTGTTATCAAAACAGTATACAACATGTATGCCTCGTTTCCTCAGCAGCTATGCTTAACTCCAATCAGTGTGCAGTTTACTTTGACGCGGGGGTGAGCAGCAGAGGTGGGGAGAGGCGGGGCTATTGCACAATCATTATCAGAAAATGATCGCTGAAGCTGCAGTACATATCCACAAAAGCAGCGAGTACGATCCCCCCCGGATGTGTAAGTCTGCTGTAGATGTTGCACAAAGAACTGTAGCATGGTCAGTAGCGTCCGGAGCACGATAGCAACTCTGCGATCCGCCATTGTTGTTGTTGTTGGTGGCGAAACACATCAGCAATGGCGCGGGGTACGCGGAGGTGAGCAGCAGAGGTGGGGAGAGTCGTGGCTATTGCGCAATCATTATCAGAACATGTTCGTATAGGGCGCACACACGGAGCTGTTTGACCCCCCAGAGCGTTGCGTATGCCGTTCTATCCACCTTGGGACCCGTTATCGTTTCCTCAGTCGTTTAGTGCCGTATGCGGTCGTCCTCGTGTGGCCGAATGGTCTATATGACACTAAACAGTAACGCAAACGGCCGTTTTTGTCCTCGTGTGGCCGGGGCATGAGAGTCAGGTGACAAGGGGAGCACGTCTGTAACCCGACACCGTTGCAATGAATCGACATCTGACCAATCACGGCTTTGATACGGCCACTAGTGCAGGTGAAGAGATGTCTGTGAAAAGACAGTTTCAGTCCGGAGCAAGCAAGAGGGGAAAAAAACAAAACATGAAGAAACTAGAGCATCACTCCAAGGTGGGTTATTGTATGAGTCAAATGTACAACTTGCGAATGTTGTATAAGTCAAATTGCCAATTGCCATATTAAAACATCAGCTGCAATTCAGGACATGAAGAAGGCAGTCTCTGCATAGGCTAATGAAGATGCAGTTATTTCCAGCATTCTTTATTTAACATTCATTCAAGTATGTGATGCTTGTTATCTGCTGATGTACAGGAGGAAGAGTGATACACTGTCTTTCTAGTTGGCTTACATAACAGTTAAAGTTTACAGCCTAAAAAACATGGAGCATTTTTTCCCCATTTATTCATTTTTATGTCAATTTGCACATTTCATGGTGATGCTCAGCCTCTCCCCTTAACTCCTAACGGCCCGTCCGCATTCACTTTGAATGGGGTGACGTCACTTTTCACCGAACTGCATTGTGGGAAGCAGAGCGGAGCTTTCCTGGCGTTTCAGGCTGCAAAAGTTGAGCAATGTTCAACTTTTTAAGCTTCTGAAGCTTTCGGTGGAAGCGTCAGCCAATCAAATCATATGCCAGTACAAGCTCTAGCCAATCAAACCGCTGCTTGTGTGTCCGGGGCGGGAGATTCATGTGATAGGTTGTTGGTCGAGTTTCAGACACGCCCGCCGGCAAGCTTTTTCCAAAGCCGCTGTGTGGATGGGCCGTAACAGTCATCGTCATGTCAACCACAACACAGAGAAATACTGATGGAAATGTGTGTGTAGTTGTTGATACATTGCTGACAGAGGGAACTACATTTGAATACAGATTTAAGAAATATCAGTTTTTGAGCATGTCATAAGCATGTTTTGTCTTGACTATATTACAACTATATTATAATAAAATATAGTATTTATTTTATTGAATTGATTATGATTATTAGTAGAAGTAGTTTATTTGCATTAATTATATTTTAATCTTTTTGAGGCTAGTATTTGGCAGGAAATGCAGACGTATTTACCTGTAAACGCACACTGAACGACATAAATGCACATTTACCATTTACCTCACTGTATACAAATTAACTGTGTTGATAATAAGAAACAGGAATTATATTTGCAAAGTAGTCTACTTTGTTTCCAAAAAAAAAAGTTTCACTCCTGTCGGTTGGGGGGGGGCCTCATCTCACAATGTCGCTTGGGGCCCCAAGTTGGCCAGGGGCGGCCCTGGGTCTATGATATAACAAGACAATGTAAAAACAACCAATTGCATTAAAAGTACTAAGATCTCCAGGTGAGTAAGGACTTTAAATTGTGTATTTTGTCCAACCATTTATTAAAATCATATCAAAAGGTCAAAGACAAATATATTTCTTTATTTTAAAGAGCACTATCAGCAAATTTACATTTTCATATTTGGTAGGTGGTGCAAGTAACAATTGAATAATCATCAGAATTGCTGTGAAGGACTTCACACAGGACTTAAAAAGGTTGTTATAAGAAAATGTGATTCTTTTAAATCTATCATTCACAAAATTGTAAAAGAAACTTGTTCTTGAAATGATTACTTCATCATAGCAATTCATATATAAAAACGACTAATGACTAATGTGTGAATGAAAATAATTCAATTGAGACATGTTGGGCTGGAATTCAACCTGCAGACAACGTCATCAACGGCACAGGGCGAGGCCGGCAGATCCATCGATGGGCAGTGTCACTACCCGATCTGTCCATGGATGTATAATAAGAACTGGATACAGCGTGGGAGGCGGGGCCTCATTAATTCCTATGAGAGTTGCTCAATAGCGCATGATGACAAAATGGCCCAACTTTTGAGAGAGCGAAACGTCACAGATTAGCCGGCATGCCTGAGAAGTACCCGTATGTGCGCTCATAGCGCAACTTTAACCACGCCACCCAAAAGGCTCGTTCACATTAAGCACGTGAATTTGCGTACACGTAACAGCACCGCGCGTTCATGACAGCATGGTACTGGATTTATATTAACGAGGCGGCAGTTAGCAGCTAGCGGCTAACTAGTAAATGATGCTAACTTACACATCAATCGTTATGTACTTTTATATTACGCTGACATCAGGATCTAGTGATATCCAAGCAACAGAGCTTCATTTAGCATGATACTTGTGTGGGTTGTACATGAAACCACTTGGTAATCAGTGTTGGGACTAACGCGGTACAAGTAACGCGTTACTGTAACGCCGTTATTTTGGGTAGTAACTAGTACTCTAACGCATTACTTTTTAAATTCAGTAACTCAGTTACCGTTACTACATGGTGCGTTACTCCGTTCGTTTTTTTTATATAGTCAACAGCCAGGCGAACAGAGATGAGAACTGTACTTAAGTACTTGAGTAAATGTACTTAGATACTTCCTGTGTCACATGCGGAGACGGGCTGTGGGCGTGTTTGTGTTGTTTACTAACAAGACTATCATGGCGGCGGCGGAGCTCAAGTCTAGTTTCTCCACCTGGAGATATTCTCACTATTTCACTTTTGTCGAGCACAAAGAAAAGAACGTTTCTGTTAAATGTAAGTTGTGTCCTGGCGGGTCAAAGATCCTATCTACTGCCCAAACCAGCAATTCAAATCTCTTAAAACATCTGCAAAAACAACATGCTGGGACGAAGCTAGTAGCTAAGACCACAGAGACTCAGCCGACGCCACTCCGCCTCCACCTAAGCAACAGCGGCTGGATTTTAACCAAGGGACTGCTAGCCAGGGAAAAGTCGATAAAGCCATTGCACGGTATGTTGAAGAACACATGCAGGCTATTGCTACAGTGGAGTCACCCGCTTTCAGGGAGCTAGTTAGCATGATAGCACGGGCGGCACACGGCATATGGGACGGAAAACTTTTTCCAACTACCTGGAGAAAGAATATACATTACATTACATGTCACTTGTTAGACGCTTTTTTATTTATTAAAGCGACTTACATACTCAATACTGTGGGCAATCCCCACAGGAGCAATTTGGGGTGAAGTGTCTTGTCCAGGGACACAACGACATGCTGACTGCAGTGGGGTTTGAACCTGTGACCTCCTGATCCGAATACCAACTCACAACCCACTGCACCACACGCCTCCCCCCCACAAAAATGGAAAGCTAGCTAATATCGATGCAATCCAGAAGTAACTAAAACGTTACTTTTCACAGTAACGCATTATTTTTTGGTTTAAGCAACTGAGTTACTTTTGAAATGAAGTAACTAGTAATGGTAACTAGCACAACACTGCGTAATATATACAAATGTATATGTTGAAGCCTGTTATGATCAATTGTGAGTTAAAAATGTATCTAAAAAGTAAAGCTGACGATGGATTACTGTGGTGGAGTTAAAATAACAATAGCCTATTTCTTTTTGAAATGTGATGGAGTAAAAGGATAGTAACTGTGATTATTCATGTTAAGTAGCCCACAAGTAACTAAAACATATAATACTTGAAGGAAAGGTGTAAAATGTTCCCATAAATACCAATATCACAGTACAACACCCCTTGTTGTTAAATACCAACCATGTATATATATATATATATATATATATACATATGCCGCTAAAACTGTGTAATATACCAGGCTGCTAAATCCTCCAAACTGTTACAGGATGTGTATTTTGTGAAATGTGTATTTGTTTTTAATTATAATTTCTTGTTTTGAATCTTTAATACTTTTTTTATGCATACTTTAAGTAACATTAGGCTGTCTTTGGCTCTTTTCTGCTGTAACAATGTAAATGTATTCTGATCTAATTGATGTTTTTGTCAGTTTGTTTCCCTATATTGCAACACTTATTTAGTTTAAGATTATTTCTCCTTTTTTTTACAGACATCCCCAACCATAGTGGAATGCTGTTGTAAAGGATTGCATTGATCCGTGCATCAATACCTTCACCCAGCTTTGAGGCCTCCAATGAATGAACATCATCTTGTGGCTGGGAAAAATGTGAACAAATAAATCTCACAAAGAGTGACTTTCTGGTGTAATCATTATAATATCAAAGACAAGCACTTTAAGTAACAATATATAAAATCATTCAGCAGCAGAGGATGGGGTGGAAACAGCATTTCTAACTAAGATGATTACAATATTACACGTTAAACATCAAGATGAACATACTATTATTCATTTAAAAAGTACATGGGAGACTTAAATATCCTGCAATATACAATTAGCAGAATTGGAACAAATGTGCCAAAAAAATTCTAAAATAAACATAAACATAAACTGAGGGCTTTCTTCCTGAGCCGCTGGGAGTAAAGGTCCTCCATGGATGGCAGCTCCGCCCTGGTGATGTTCTGTGCAGTTTTCACCACCCTTTGAAAAGCCTTACGATTGAGGGCGGTGCAGCTGCCGTAACAGGCCGTGATGCAGCCGTGTCCGTGATGGACACTGAGGAACCTGAAGCTGCTGACTCTCTCTACCGTAGTCCCATTGATGGCGATGGGGGGCGTGTCCCTCTCTTTGCTGCTTCCTGTAATCCACAATCAGCTCCTTGGTTTTGCTGACGTTGAGATGGAGGTTGTTATCCTGGCACCAAGATGTCAGGTTTTCGACCTCCTCTCTGTACGCCGTCTCGTCGCCGTCTGTGATCTGGCCGATGACGGTTGTCTGTTACGATCTCAGGCACTTAGGATGTTGAACCCAATTGCAGACAGGGAGACAGAGGTAAAGTATTGGTAAGATACTTTATTTTTCCAAGAAAACACAATGAACAAAAAAAGGTCACTAACTAATCTCAGGATGATATGACAAAAAATGAGACCAAAAGGAAAATCGCTCACGTAGTGAGGAACAAAAATATTCTTGAGCATAAAAGAGCATAGACCTGACCATGGCAAGAGACAATACGAACTGACACTGAACACTGGGAGACAGGGGAATTTAAACACAGGGTAACTAGACACAGGTGGGAACAATCAGGCTGACACCGATGAGCACAGGAGACACACAAGGAGTGACAGGTGAAAACAATCAGGAAATTAGACACACCAGGGAACTAACGACAGACATGAAAACACAGGGAAAAGAGACCAGACAATATACAGGGAGGAAAACATGACAAGGAGAACGGAAAAACACCCACACCTAGACATAGACACGTGACATGACATAATAATCCTGACATTGTGTCGTCAGCACGTAGGTCCATACCAGTGTCTTGAAGTGGCTGCGCTTCCTCCTGGGCAGCATCCAAAATGGAGAAGAAAGAGAACAGACACACCACAGCTGGGTGAGGCTGGTGAGGCTGGGGAAGATGAGGGAGGGAAAGAGAGAAACAAAACAGGGGGACTAAGATGAGTGAGGGAAAGAGAGAAAAAGACAAGGGGACTAAGATGAGTGAAGGAAAGAGAGAAAAAGACAAGGGGACTAAAGTTTAAGAGAGAGGAAGAACACAATGTGAGTGAACAATTTAATTAAATTACACATTTAAAAAAATAGTGTGAGTAAGTGAAGACATCCTTACAAGGAGGACTGCCCTGTCAAATTTAAAAGTTATTCTTGTTAAATATACATATCCTGTTGAGGCTATAATCCAAAATGCAGAACCACTTTAGATTGTAGCCTCAAGGGACTGTTTAAGGTTACTTAAAAACATATCATTTCCCAAATTGGTGAAATGAACTCCATCTCTTAGAAATATGCCAGGGCAGTCAAACTTAATGCAAGGATGCCTTACACTCTACCCAAACCACTAACACATTTACCCATCTCTCTGTTCACCCACATTCTGGCCTTGTTCAGCTTTCCCGGATTGGCTTTCCTCCAGTGACATCTCTCATTGATAGAAGATAGAATTATCTTCATCTCTGAGAAGTTGTCACTGAGGGAAAGCAGGTCCTGCTTCATCGCTGTGACAAGCTCCACACCTTTGATGTTGCCAAGGTCGTTGCTGCCACAGTGGATGAGCAAGACATCCGGGACTGTTCTTCCTCTCAAGGACTGATAGAAAAAGGGAAGAAGGTTCCTCCACCTCAGACCACCCTTGCCAAACCACCACACACGGCAATTGAGACCCAGGTTGCTTCCCATGGTGTGTCTGGCTCTTTCTTCCCCACGTCTAACGTAGCTGCTCCCTATTATCCACACATTGGGACCTAGATAGAATAAAATATATTGAAAAAGGAAAAAAAAGTGTTTACTGGTGATCATCTTTTAGAAAAAGACGGTACATGTAGCCTGAGTTGTCATATCATATTTTTAAGACTACACAAGTTTAATGTGTATATTATATTACATATAACTCTATACTTGTATATAGAATCATGATGAAACTTTATAAGGATTAAGATTATATATTAATATTACATTAAATAATGCATGACGATTTCATGCATTATTACGAAGCAGGATGTATCAAGTCACTGACTTTTTGTGATAAGGTCACAATCAACTGATTTCACTTATCAGATGTAAAAATAAGGTACAATATATTTGTTTTTGCCATATGAAAGTAAAGGGTATGCAATCAAAAAATTACTGAAACAAAATGAATAAAAATTCTTATAAAAACTATACAGCACCTTGTCCAAGTATGGCGGGAGGCCCACTTTCCTCAGGATTTCCTCTCTGGATGACGATCCGGCTATTTCTGCCATCTATAAATAAAGTACAAATGATTAGCTCTTCACGCCTCTTTAAAATAATATGTGTTCTTGAAGATTCTGTATGCATCGTCGTTTACAATGGTAGGGACATTGCATTGGAAATTAGTTGTGAAAAAGACATGTCATTTTTAGTTTTTTCATCTCACATTTATAGATTTTAAATACAAATATATATATATATATATAAAACGAATTATAAATGCAAAGTCTGGTTTCTAGAAAGTTAGCTAATGCATACAGAGTTAACATTGCAGAACTGCTGGCATGCATACATTTCTAGCATTTTGGTTAACTATGAAAAGTATGGAAAATTACTGTGCAAACACCCAACATTAGCTTAGCCACAGTAGCGGTTGCTGATGAGTGGTTTGGCTTATTTTACTCTTTTATATGAGAACATGTTACATTACATACAGACATTAAGGAGGCAGGTTAGAAAATAAATATGTTTTCGTCTCTTACCTTTTGGAGCAAACTGTTGTCGGTTGTTAGCATAGACTGTCTGTATATATAAAGCGTTGTCTCTTTAGCCTCAGTGACGTGACGGTGTACACTGAACGTGACCGCGTGTGAAGGGGGAGTGGCGCGGGGGATTTAGGTCTGGGCTGCGCTAAATTCAGCCTCTCTTTCCAACATCTCCTGTGGTGGCAATCCACATTCTATACTTCCTTCTATATATGTATGAGCTCTGTATGTGTTTTCTTTTCCTTATGACTGTTGTAAGTAAACTTTTTTATTCTATACTTCCTTCTATATATGTATGAGCTCTGTATGTGTTTTCTTTTCCTTATGACTGTTGTAAGTTAACTTATTTATTCTATATCTTCTTCTATATTTGTATTTGAATGTATGTGACAGTCCTCTGTTTATTTATTGTTAAGCAACGCAACACATGGTTTTCAACAGTGGAACGATTTATATGAATGTCAACAGCAACATCCCAAGCTTCTTTCTAGCCAATATTCATTATGTTGTATTTGTACCTTCAACTGTAACTGAAAGTTCAATTTGGTGTATTTTGTTTGCAAGTCTGTGTTCAACATACTACTTGGAGTATGCTTAACGCGGCACAAGTCTATACTGAACATGGACACGCACAATTCTAAACATGTATTTTTTCATATCTGATACCAAATCTTGCAGCAATATTGCCACACTGGAGATGTATATTAGTTATTTAGAGTTTAGTGTTCAATGTATTCAATGTATTCAATGTGTTAAATGTATTCAATGTGTTAAATGTATTCAATGTATTCAAAGTATTCAATGTATTCAATGTGTTAAATGTATTCAATGTGTTAAATGTATTCAATGTATTAAAATAACTATCCAAACATTTTACATGTAAGTTATTTATATGTATGTAAGTGTTGTCTCGTGTGTATGTACTGTTTGTGATCGTTGTTGTGTCCTCACTCATGGCCTGCACCTTGACGTGGTGAGTGGGCTTTAAACTAAGACAGGCCATTTATGTTTGAAATATCATGCTAACAAACCTGCAATTACAGAATTGAATGATAGTGGTTATATATGTTCATGTCTTGCTGACATTATTACAATTTTTTTAAATGGTTCTCCTCTAACCTGCAGTCAGCTGTGATTCCAGGTGTTCATGCTGCCGCCCGCCTCCCCCACCCATCCACCTCCTTTCATCATATCCAGTACCAGGAGAGCTAATCCAAAGACCTCATCACACCTCCTCTTCATCCCATCTCCTCATCAAATCCAGATCTTCAGCATTATCACCAGTGTCTAGACCCCGGGGGGTTCCCTATATGCTCACGGCTGCATTTCCCCTCTTAGATATACGATTTCAGGATCGGGGTCTAATCGCCAAAGACTTAACATTTATCATATGACATGTGTCAATAAATGTTCTTTAAACAAAATGAAGTCTCTCCTAATTGAACTGTCTGGACCCTATCCTCAACTTTTTTCAAACCACAACATGCCTTCAGAGGGCTTTCCTGTTGATAATGTTTGGTGGATTTTTTAATAGAATAATTGTAATCAATATTATATTACCTTTTAATCTATATAAAAATGTTATTAACATTTTTTGTCACTATTTTGTTCACCTTGTTCTATTATGCCAGCCATCAGAGGTATACATTTGTTAACATCTCTTTTAGGTTTCATTTCTTATATTTGTGAATTTCTATATAAAATGCTAATTTCTACCTGAAATGCTTATGTATTTTTAAATTACATTTTCGTAAAGCTTTCACTTTTTCAGAGGAATAAATATTATAACTTGTTTTGTTCAGCATTGCCAGCTTCACTGTTGAGCGTGATGTTGTGCCCAGCACTCTCCTGTCCTGTGCTCTGAAATCAAAATGTGGATAAGAATAAAACAACACTAAAATAAACACTTCAATACAACTTGTAAAACTTTTGTGCGTATACATATACAACACAGGCAATATACATACATACATATATATATATATATATATATATATATATATACAATTATAATTAATACAACTGTTAATTTGATTAGAGCTTTGACACATATCTTTATTGATATATGTATAAATGTGACGACTTAATATATAGTCGGCCTAATAGCAAACAGCTACGTTCAACTCTGTTAATGGTATATTGCAAGTGCAATAAGAAGCTACAGGAACGTTAATCTACGTCGGTAATATTATTAACTTTATTTAATACAACATTTACGGTACAAGATTTACATCATAGCCTACAGCCCATGTAGTATATTATTTTACAAATGATGAATTACAGCAAACATGTATATATATCCATTATTACAGCTCCGTGGGATGGCAGTAAGTCGATATGGTCCGTTGTTATTGTGCATCCATGGGTAAAGATAAACGCATGTAGTGCTGAACACGTCACATCACATGAACGTGCCGGGCAGCGCGGTCCCGTGGGTTAGATGCGCGTTCATAATGCCGAGGGAAATAACTCTCAGAATAACGTTATTAGCACATTTCTACAACTTGAGGAATTAATGTTTTTAATAAGGGCTATACAAGTGTTCATACTGGGTTGTTTATTTAGTTTTAAAAAAATTATCCAACGAGTTACAGACCACTCTTTCCCCATGTAAGTCAATGGGAAAAAGTGTTTCCGGGCCCAGCAACCAAACGGAAGTGTAGTACCACCGTTTGGCCACTACGAATATTCTCATCAGACTCCGGCGCACTTCCTGGGGGCTTGGATCTGTCCCCCTGCCCGATCTGTACTGTGCATGTGCGAGATGGTCCGCCATATTGGACAACTCCAGACGGCAACCCAAGTAGAACAACAACTCTTTTTATTGGGTTCTTTTATTTGGGGTTAAGTACATTGTCAGAATAAGTGAGAAATGAATTTAACTTCTGTTAGACAGCTATCATACTGAATAAATATTTACTGTGAATGTATGCAAAAATGTATGGCATATAGCGGTCTAATAGAAGTTAAATCCATTTCTCACTTATTCTGACAATGTACTTAACCCCAAATAAAAGAACCCAATAAAAAGAGTAGTTAAATAATAGTGAAGTCACGTTGTAATAACAATAACTCATCTCTCTCAAGTTTTCTTTTTGAGCTTTGCCGAAAGCCACTGTGTCAAGTGTCCTTCTTGGGTTGCCGTACGGAGTTGTCCAATATGGCGGACCATCTCGCATATGCGCACTGCAGATCGGGCAGGGCTGCAGATCATGGATGTATAATAAGAACAGATCGGGTAGTGACCGTAGTGACAGACACTACCGACTCCAGGGCAAGCCCCCAGGAAGTGCGCCGGACTCTGAGGAAAATATTCGTTGTGGCCAAACGGCATTACTATACTTCCGTATCAGTCGCTGGGCCCGGAAAGACTTTTTCGCTTTGATTAAAGAGACTTATGTAAATCGTTGAATACTTTTTTTTAAACTAAATAAACTACCCAGTATGAACATTTGTATAGCCCTTATTAAAAACATTCGGTCCTCAAGTTGTAAAATGTGCTAATAACGTTATTCTGAGAGTTATTTCCCTCTGCATTATGAACGCAGATCTAACCCACCGGACCGCACCGCCCGGCACGTTCATGGGACATGTTCAGTACTACATGAGTTTTACCTTTACCAATGGATGCACAATGAGAATGGATTATATGAATACTTTCGTGACGTTTCTATCTCTCAAAAGTTGGGCAATTTTGTCTTCATGCGCCAATGAGCAACTCTCATAGGAATGAAAGAGACCCCGCCTCCCACGCTGTATCCAGTTCTTATTATACATCAGGGGCAGTAGCGTGGCGTGGGGAAAAATGTAGGGGAAGCCCATTTTTTGGGTCGGGGGGGTGGTCAAAAACGTAACCAGATGAGTGATTACAGCGCCCGGTATCATTTTACACACATTTGTATCACACAGATGCAGGACTTGCACACACCTGTTATCTAACCGACAGGTCCGCACGCACTCTCCAGCTGAAACTCTCTCCTTATTAATTTAAGCATTTTACTTATTAATGTATGCAGACGATCACACAATCTATGTGATTTTTGGATTTACCGTGCCTCTCAATTGCCCGTGACAGGTTGGCAAGGTCGATGAATCCTGAAATTGCCCAAGGATTGTTCAGGGAGCACGAATCCTTGTCAAAAAGAAGACATGGCCAGCAAAATAGACGCTGAAGTTTAGCGCTTCCAGTTAGCCACTCCGTGCGGACATAATTGTCCTCATTGAACGTCCGATTCTCTCCCTTTTTCCTCTGTGTACACAGCTCGAGTGCGGGCATTGGCCTGTCATCTGATTTAATTTTTAGTTGCTGCTGTAGCGGAAGTTTAGTAAAGTTATGTTTGATTAAGTACGCCAAATCTCCACCCTCCATAATGCTTCATTTGCTTGATAATTTCTAACGGCGGTGATGACAGTTACAGTATTAAAACTGATGTTGATGTGATTTGATTGGATGGCAGTGTCCAATCAAATAGCCAGCCGCCAGCCGCCTCTGAAGGGAAGCAAGAGGTGGCTGGCTTCCCTTGGCATGGCCCTGACCAATCACAGGTTGGCAGGGGCATCACGTGGGCCTCATCTGATTGATCAATCCCTCCATTTTTTTCACCAAGGGAAGCCAGATTCGGCTGGCCTCCTCTCGCAACAGTGAGTGCAATCTACTGTTTCACCATAACATCTAGAGGGGCGATGTTTGTTTCACTCTTTGTAAAATACTCAATGAGAATGGGGGAGAGAAGGGCCGGCAGCAACACACAGCAAAGGAGAATTATCGAAACAAAACAAAGTGTTTTTATTTAATTATTTAAATTATAACTACAATCCGAAAAAACAGGGGAAGCCTGGCTTCCCTTGGCCTCCGGGAGAAAACGCCACTGATCAGGGGTGCCCAACCAGTCGATCACGATCGACCGCTCGATCGCGGGGAGATTCCCAGTCGATCGCGAGATGTGTCTAAAAATAGAAAAACAATATTCTGTTTATCGAAAATGTCCTATAACATAATCTTCCTGTGCCAGAATAATGCACTTGAACGCATCAAAGCTTTGTGATTGGCCGGCGTGACTGTGTCGGGGCGTGGCTGGTGGGCAGTGGGCACTAGTTCGCTGACGTTGTCCGTGTCAACAGCAGTGACAGTCCGCACACACACACACAAGACCGCAATTATGGCAGAAGCAAAAAAGCCCAAAATATATAATTTTCACTCCGAGTGGGAGTGTGGTGGCGTTTTAATCCTTGTCTACCATTTAATAGCCACCTCTATCGGGGTTGTGGGTTTTGACGCGCCTCTCTTTGTTTCCAAACAATTCAGCGGAGATCGTAGTTGAATCAGATGAGCTTTATTCACTGATCCACACGGTGCATACAGGAGGACACATTTCTTCGCTTCATAGTAACTCAAAAGTGTATCATTTTCCAAAGTAACAAAAAGAACACGGTCAAAAGACTTTTCCATTTCCCCGTCTATCACCCTCAGCTGTGTCCTATCCACCTACCATATATAGGCATAGCCATGCACGTGATACTGACGCACATATAACAAATAATAAGTGAGCCTTAACTTAATGCATTTTAAACCATAATGTGACTCACAAAAATAGCCGATAATTTACAGTATAATCTAATTTATATTATTATTAAGCCCAACATTCAGACAATAATAACAAAAGGTAAAATGGCTCTAACATACCAGCCCCTAATTGCTTATTACATAGCAATTACCAATAATAATACATCAACAGTCATTTTAACAAAACATAACGTCCATCCGTAGCATATTTGTATACTTAAGTCCATAGTATATTGTATACTTTCAAGTCCATGTATATTGTATACTTTCAAGTCCATGTATATTGTATACTTTCAAGTCCATGTAAGACTAGTACTGGAGTGTGTAGGTCTAGTACTAATTGTCTGTAATGGTCTGCGTTCAAAAGGCAGCCTTTGATGGGGAGGGGGTAGGAGACCAAGAGTCTAGTCCTTTGGTCTAACAGTCAGAGGTGCACGTGACTGAAAGGCTAAGGCTTAGTAGGCTCAGTCTGTCGCCTCCAGGAGCAGACATAACTTAGTTATGGGTCTTTCGATCGTACTTGTCTTGGTTTTAACCAGGACACTCCTAACAAGTCCTTTTGAACCAGGAAGGGTCTTAACTACGCGTCCCAGGAGCCAAGTGTTCCTCGGTGCGTTCTCATCAATGATGACGACCAGGTCTCCGGGGGTGAAGTTTCTTTTGATAGTATTCCATTTGTGCCGTTCTTGCATCAAAGGAAGATATTCCCTGGTCCAGCGCTTCCAAAACAGGTCAGCAAGGTACTGCACCTGTTTCCATCTTCTCTGTGAGTACAGATCCTCTCTCTGAAAGAGTCCTGGGGGCAAGATTGGATTTGTTCTTAACTGAAGTAGGTGATTAGGTGTGAGGGGTTCAAGGTCGTTTGGGTCGTTTGTCACTGTTGTGATTGGCCTATCGTTCATTATTGCCTCAACCTCACACAAGGCTGTGTGCAGAGCATCATCATCCAATGTTTGTTCCTTCAGGACAGAATGGAGGATCTTTTTAACCAGTCGTATTAGCCTCTCCCACACTCCGCCATGGTGAGCTCCGGAGGGGGGATTGAATGTCCAATCAATTCCTTCTTTGAGTAGTGTTTGCTTGATTTTGTTGTTATCCAGTTGTTTTACAGACTCCTCCAGTTCCTTTTGTGTGCCGATGAAGTTGGTGCCTCGATCTGTTCTGATGCTCTTTATTGTGCCACGACGACAGATGAATCGACGAAGAGCGTTTATGCATGCAGCTGTATCCAAATGACTGGCAACTTCCAGGTGGACAGCACGGCTTACCAGGCAGGTAAAGATTACTCCCCATCTTT